AGAGCATTTTTTCGCTGGACGTCTAACTGAAGCTACGCCGAAGGAGTTGCAAGATCGGGATCAGAGAATAGTGCCTTGGGTTCTTCGTTGGTAAAGGACAGAAGGATAGGATTTCTGAGGTGGTATGGAAGGGACAAGATTACTCCTAAAACATGTGCCCTATGCCTCTCGGTTTATCGGTATGGTTGGAGGAAAGGTACAAGGTATTTTAAAGAGCATGCTTTAGGTTGAATCAGAAATTATATATATTAAAATTGGTAGTTTTCGTATTACATGTAAAGTTAATACTTTTTTCTTTCAGAATGTATTTTTTTACCTTTTAGAATTTGTGAAGGTGTTATAAATGAAAGTGTTGCATTACCTATTTTATCGCGAGATCTGTGTATTTATTCAATGTGGCTTTGCTAGTCATAAGCCGGGTAAGTTCGCAATTAGAACTAATGGTAGGTTTCAAACGGTAATGAGCCCTTCTGAGCTTTCAAACGGAATGATATCAGTGTCAGTCAAAGAGTAAAAAGCAGCTTTAAGCTAAGCTTGGTCCCACTTTAAAAAACAAAACGAACTGTAATGAAGTCAAAACAAAGCACATGCTACACTTTCGCCCTTTTCTAAATGGAATATGCAATGTTCTGCATGAAATCACTCCTTCTGTTCTTAAAAAGGTGTAAAGTTGTTGGTGTTACTTAGGCTACTTGTTTTTTCCTCCAGTTTTGCTAATAATTCAGCAATATGCCAAGATCCATCCAAGCGTCATTATTGTGAACATATTCATGGCGGTTTTAAACTTTTGAAAACTTCTTCTACTGAATTCATCTGAGTTTACTGCACGTTAATGAGGTTTATTAATATATAGGTTTTCCCATGAAAAGTCCATACATCAGAAGGTTAATTTACATGTCAAATTCGAGTAAAAATTCTCTATAGACGTAATTAAGGTGGATTTTTGTATTTCCGAAATTTTTTGACTACAACCATTTTTTACCAAAAGTATAAAGTTTCTATTGTCCAAAGTCTGATTCTTATTCGAAATTGAAATATTCGAGATATTTCACTTTTCATGTTAATTGAAAATTCTAATATTATTCCAGAACAGACACAACTACATCGTGTGGCTGACAATATAGCCTCTTCCCTCGAACAAAAACAGCATTGCTTGGGTGTCTTTCTTGATTTTGAACAGGCCTTCGATCGAGTCTGGAGAATTACTATCTTATACTGAGATCGATTTTGTCGAGTCCATCAGGGAACTGAATTCTTACCTTATATACGCATTAGGGCGGGTGTTCCTCAGGGAAGCATACTTGGCCCTTTTCTATTTTCCATATACACTGCAGATATTCCTACACATGTTAACATTTGGACACACACATTCGCTGATGATACAGCGATTCTTACACGCAATTCGAACCCCTCAATTAACACTCAACACTTACAACAACACCTGAATGAATTAACAATATGGTTCACAAAGTGAAAAATAAAGGTAAACCTAACAAAAAGCACACAGATCAATTTTACCTTACGTAAAAATATCTGTCATGCGGTGAGTATAAATGGAATTCCATTGCCTACCACTGACCTTGTGCGTTATCTTGGTCTTTTCATGGATAAACGACTGACTTGGAATCCCCATGTAAGACTGAAAAGACAGCAAACAAACCGGCGTAATAAATTGTTAAAAAGACTACTCGACTCACGATTAAAATTAAACATTGAAAACAAACTCTTAATTTGCCAGACAGTGATTAGATCTCTCTGGGCGTAGGTTTGTGAAGTGTGGGGCTCAACCAAAGATTCCAATTCCCAATGTCTCCAATCAATCCAATCTAAAATTCTCAGTCAAATTTAAATGCTACTTTTTACGTTTCAAATTACACCATAAAAACCTACACATCCCGTTTGTACATGAACTCATCAAAATCCGCTATAAAAATTTCATCAATCACTGAACACACACAATAATCTATTAGTACAACAGTTATCACTTCCTACCCTACCTGAAAATTCTCCAAGACGATTGAAGCGAAAGTGGCCCCGAGACCTTCTCATTGTGTGAAGACTGAACAAGATACTGGTGTGAAGGAGTGTTACCACCGGGCAACTTCTTCTACAGATCCTCAAATTATAAATCAACATATACGAACATATTTATATCACTTGTAGTTGTAAATACCAAATAAATGTAATAAAAAAAAAAGTTACGTCGTTTTTCTAACTTTATTCCATGTAGTTGTATCTCATATAATAACAATAAAAAGAGCGTTGAAAATTTTATGAGATTAATTTTTTATTTCTTTATTTTTATTATTGTAAACTTAACCATATAACAATATCGCTTCGAATAAAAATTTTACGAGTTTCCGAAGATCTTATTCAAAGATTTTCCAAATATACTAACATTTCTAAAAATACTGACTAATAACTGCAATAACTACCATAGACTATTATAACTACTTATATATATAGGTATCATACAGGTTTTTTCTAAATATACTGACATTTCTAAAAATACTGACTAATAACTGCAATAACTATCATAGACTACTACAACTACTTATATATATATAGGTATCATACAGGTTTTTTCTAAATATACTGACATTTCTAAAAATACTGACTAATAACTGCAATAACTATCATAGACTATTACAACTACTTATATAGGTATCATACAGGTTTTTTCTAAATATACTAACATTTCTAAAAATACTGACTAATAACTGCAATAACTACCATAGACTACTAAACTTATATAAATATATAGGTATTCTACAGGTTATTTACGTTCTTAAATCACACTTTCACCTCATAACTACACCAGCAGTAAATCATATGGCTTGAAGCGTTTGAGTCGTATGTTCGTCGTCACACAGGTGGACTGCTACTACGTTGACGTGTCACCTAAGCTTTTGATGGTTGGCTACTATTTACATTTTGAGGTTACGGTGGAATTAGTCTTAATTTCTTTTGCATTGTGGTTTATTGGTTATGCTTCTCAATACTCTATCCTTTATATGATTTGGCAGTTGGTCGTACTGGCTCAGCCCCTGAGCTGGATGCCGTATGTCCATATAGAATTTGAGGACCTCTTGGTAAAGTAATAACTTATACTTTCAATGAACTTTGTAGAGCTTCTGCCATTAACTAGTACATTTTCCGGAATTTGATGGTGTGCTCTTCACTTTTTTGACGCGTTTGCCTCTATTTATGAGCTGTAACGAAATTAATTTTCAAAGGTCAGTAAGTACCAATGTAAAATTAATGTTTAATTTCTAAAAATTAGTTTTTTGTTTAAATCCATTAAAAACAAGTAATAATTAGGATTTCGAAACTTATAGTAAAAATGTAATACAAAACAAACAAAACCAACTTTTTGATTCACAATTGAACATAAATTTTAAAAAAACAATCAACTTCTAATAATTAATTATTCGGAGATCGTGAGATGCGGTCTGGTGTGACGTAGGTTTTAGAAAAACATTTTCTTTATCATGCCAACGTTTCGATCTTTATTGAGATCATCTTCAGGGCTCAAAGAGTTTGTTTTCTGCATAATTGTGGCATTGTTGTGTATCGTGTTGAGAGTGCCCGTGACACAGAAGAATGACACAGTTGCGCAGAAAACAAACACTTTTAACCCTGAAGATGATCTCAATAAACCTCGAAACGTGGCACGATAGAGAAAATTTTTTTCTAAAACCTACTTCACACCAGACCGCATCTCACGATCGCCGAAGGATCATTGACTAACGGTCACTAAACACCACACATTTCTAATAAATTAAATGTTAAAGGTTCAAAATGGTCACCTTCAAGTTCCCTTCCACTCTCAAACTGGGCGGAATTTTTTTTTTTCTTAAGATTACAGTAATAGAACGAATCCAATGAGATTTTTAATGTTCTTTTCATTGGTGTAATCGAATTTACAGCAGGATTAAAATTTGACGAGATTCGAGGGACTTGATGGAATGAAGTTGTGAAAGGTTGAATTAACTTGAAAAGTAAAATATACCGAATAAATCAGAATTTAAACGATAGAAACTTTTTAGCCCAATTTGACATGTAGAATAACCTCTTGAAGTATTGACGTCTGTTCACATGACAGATTATTTATACATTAATCGTAGACAGATTATCATGGTTATAAGTACGTTATGATCCATCCTAGTTTGTTTGTGATTATTAAACTCATTCTTAGTTATGCTGGTATTTAACCTTAATTGTGTATGTTAGCAGCGTATGCAATTATTTTCATGATTATGTATTCTTTTACGGAACTAGAGCTTTTTCTGGACTGTTCGTTTTAATTTTCTATTCTTTTCATCCGCAATTCGATATCGATTTAATTGTGAGGTTGGAGACATTCAAGGAAAACGGTGAAATATCAATACGCGTAAGTCTGAAAGGTATAGCAACATTAGGCGATTGATTAAACATCATAAAAATATTGAACTAATTCAACCAACAAGCTTTCACAAATTTAAATAAGTTTTTCGGTTTTTACATTTTCAAGAATGAACATTTTATTGACTGAGCGTCACCATTAGGAACCATGAATAGATTTTCAGTTACCTTATAAAAATCACATGTCACCCTCGGAAAGCATATTAAACTTTGCCTAAATGTTAACAAGGCTGTAATTATGCTAATTATGCTATTTGAGGGGCTCCTCCGTTAAGTAGGGACGAGCATTAGGGTGCATTTCAGGACATCTACACGGGCCGTTAACAAAATTACCATTGAAAACTCGGATACAATCGAGCCTATTTGAAATGTTTTTTTTTGTCAAAAATGAATAATGAAAAAGACTGGTAATCCATCTTGGCCTCTTTCGAAAATACTGGTAATAAGCATTCATGAGACAAAATTAAGTCAACCCATAGGAATCTAAAAAACGATCATTTATTCCGATTATTATAAAGCTCTTTAAGTTTTACATTGACAATTCTGTACATTACGAAAATATGGTTTTTTCAACTTCAAATTTAATTTGTTCGCAGGTTCGTACACTTTTCGTCAGCGGACTTCCCATGGACGCCAAACCTCGGGAGCTGTATCTGCTGTTCAGGGCATACGAGGTACTGTAAAATTTTAATTTTTTTAAATAACTTTTAATTTACCGATTTACAGATGAAAATATCTTCCGACGGAAAAGAATTTTTCTCGTTGTTACTCGGGTTCTGCTGTAAGAAGCATCAGGTGTTCGAGATTATAGCTTGAGTTTTCCTTTTTTTTCTCGTTTGTTTTTCGCCTGGTTATATTTGCGAGTCAAAAAATCGATTCCACTTCTGCTGCCTAACAGTAATCAATAAATATATATATTATATATAATAAAATATCAGAGCATCCCAGTTTTTTTTACGATATGGATTTTTTTGTGTTACATCAGCTCTTTTTTATCTTTGATTTTTGTGTTTTAACTGTCTAATTTGTTAATTCGAGTTAGTGATCTTAGAGAAAATGAAGTATAAAGGGTTTAGACTAGAGTTTTGGGATGAGGGTCTAGGGTTTTATGAATTCTTCCTCGCGACGGAGGACATCACGAGACCATTGGTGGCTTAGGAGTCTTGGAGGGTTTTCGGGAGGGTTCTGGTTGAAATGAGTTGGATTAAAGGGTTAGAATGAGATTCGAGGGTTGTACGGATAGTGAAGCTAGATACGATAAAGCGAGCATGGAAGCATGTTTCCAAGCATTTTAAATTTGAAGACTGAATTCTTTGGAGGTTTGTACGCATGGTGACCCCCACATTTCGATTTCATTGGTTGTAGTGTTGATATAATTGTGCCAGTAGTATAGACATTGATGTTGTTCTAACAATTTCGACCTGTAATCAAATAATGTTTTTGTCTTATTACAACAGGGGCAAGCTTACCCCACTGCATCAATGTAAACCGCACTCGACCAGGAGTGTTTCGAGAGTGCCAACAGACCCCTAAGATACAAGGAAATAAAGCCAGATCTAAGGACTAGCCACCATAAAATTCTGGAGGGAATTAAAATAAACGAGATTGAAAGAAAAACTCAACTTTGGCCGACCTTTCCATGTGGTCATAGGTAATAGAGAACGTTGGAGAAAAGATAGCACAAGATTATTCTGAAATCGCGTGATGTAGGTTTCAGAAAAACATTTTCTTTACCGTGCCAACGTTTCGATCTTTATTGAGATCATCTTCAGGGCCTGGGATTTACAAACATTGTTTAAATTTAACACACACACACACACAGAGCACAAGTTTCAAGAAGCGGCCCTAAATATGGCACATCATGGATCGAAGATAGATCTCTCTCTCAGGTGGGAAAGATTTTGTTTGGATCTGGATCAACTAATGAGTGAGTAACTGGTTTTATATATATATATATATATATATATATATATATATTATGCAGGGTGGGCGACCAAGACCCGAGGGGTTAAATGCCTGGGTAGACTCGTACCCCATCCCCAAAAGGTCCGGGACTTGGTCGGCTCACGTGTCCCGCATAAACCTCTTGGACTTGTTCACAAACCCCAAGATTTTGGACCATTTTATCTCGGAGAGTGATTTGGTGATGTCCGCTCCTTCAAAGATTTCAAATCTGGACCTAGCATACTTATCACACTCTGCGAGGTAGTGCCTTGCCGGTTCTTCTTTTATTTCGCAGAAGCGGCAAAAGGGATCTGATAGGATACCCATTACGAAGAGGTGTTTTCTCAGTGGGCAGTGGCCCGTCAGAATACATATCAGCCTCCTAATTCCCTTCCTTAAGATAGAGAATAGCCATTTCCATTCTGCTGGTTTGATCACCTTAACAAACTCTTTCGATTGCCTGTGTCCGGAGATAGATTCCACTCCTTAAAGAATTGTTTCGTGCCTCAGTTTTTAATACTCTCTTTCGCTATGCTCATAGCGTGAGGTAATACCGGTTGTGGCCCGACAAACGCAGTATTATTGCCTTCTTTGGCCAGGCTATCCGCCTCTTCATTGCCATGGTGTCCTTTATGTGCTGGTATCCAAATAAGGGTTACCTTGTTCTCAAACCTGGAAGAGATCCTATTGATAATATCCACAGTTTCCTCCACCAGTCGTGAGGTTGACAAATCTTATTGTAATGACCTAAGACTAGCCTGACTGTCAGAAAAAATTCTAATATCTTTTCCCTTAATTTTATTTTATATAAGTGTTCTACAACACACATTAATGGCCCAGATTTCCGCCTGAAACTGGTTAGTCACAAATGGTTAGGGATGGTTAGGAGATTATGTTCAGTTTATTAATTTTTTTTAGTACATTGTAGACGGACTAAGTCTTTTGTAAATTGTATCGATGTAAATTCCCAATTAGTGGATTGTCGCTGGAATATTACACAAAAAACCTGGGAATTCTAAATGAATAATAATATTTGTGGGCAAAACACATATTACTAATATCAAGCCTTTCGGGTTATTTTAAAATGGTGTTTTATGAATATTTCGAACCGCGTCTCCCATAGGTAAAGAAAAATCTACGGATGTAGATAATAATTGAAAGTAAAGTTTGGCGAGTCGAGATATATTTATATAAGTTAATTCTCGTAATATCTACAATTTGGACGTGGATAAGAAGTTTACCACCTTACTGTAACTTTACACTGAAGTATTGGGTTGTTTCTCTTCTACAAAAGTTCTATCACGAAACACAACAGCAGACCAAATGTTAAAGTTCATTAAACTCTTCCGGAAAGTCCTACTAATCTAATAAACCTACAAAGATGAGAACAACATAAAAATGTATTTAAAAAATGCCTCTTGTTGACTATTTCTGATCCATGTCTATGAACTTTCGACTTTTCATACTTGATCAGTCAAACACTTTACAGTCGTAAGTCATGGGAATTTGTAAATGGGAGACTGCAGTTATGTGCAAACATACTCTTTGTCAAGTAAATTTAGCCCAAAGGGAGATTGAAGAGAAAAGTATCGATGCTTTCTAGTATCTATAATAATGCACAGACATAAAAACAATAGTCTGTAAAGTTCAAAAATATTAATAAATCCATTACAGTTCGTGGTCCGATTGACCAATTCACTTTTTTCAATTAATTAATATTTATGAAAGGTATTGGTTGAGATAAAAAGTCAGTGTCCCGAGCGGGATTCGAACCCACGACCTTCTGCTAATTCGTTCGATTGGCCTTTTTTAAAATCTGTTTATATTTAAGTTGGTGCAGTTGCACCCGATGAAAATATACAATATAAAAAATGAAACAATACTTACGTTTAATCCGATAGCTAAGCATAATATGACATAGATGTTTAATAATAAATTTAAAAAACATTAAATTTAATTAAAAATCATTAAAAACAGAGAGGAAATTATATAAACATTTATTTAACGTAAATTGTTTCAGAGGGAATATTTTTTACTAAAACCAGATTAATAATCACATACTTATTTAATTTATTGTCTATACAGTTTTGATAATTAGTAATTCTTTTCAATTAATTAATCTTTAAGTAAGGTATTGGTTGAGATAAAAAAAGTCAGTGCCACGAGCGGGATTTGAACCAACGACCTTCGGCTAAATACGCCGCTGCTCTACCACTCGAAAAATGGCAAAATGGAGTGAAAATTCTTAAGGTGGGGTTGAGACGGGAAGTTGGTGTCCGAGTGGATAGAAGTCACGATAGCTCCAGTGATAGAGCAGCAGCGTGTTTAGCCGAAGGTCGTGGGTTCGAATCCCGCTCGTGAAACGGACTTTTTTTTATCTCAACCTATAGATTTCATAAATATTAATTAACTGAAAAATATTAATTTTATTGTATACTCTATCTTGGCATGGTATGCTGTTATGTTGAAAGGGTCAATTTTTCCATTTGGAGACATTTTTCTGTATATTACATTGTTTGTGTCCGTCGGTGAATAGTTTCACCTTTCTATTTGTCAGTATTTCATAATATACAAAACGAACGCAAATTCCCCAACATTGTCGTACTAATCATAACGACGAATTTTCCGATTCATCCCGAGTGTTTCAGTCCGAGTAATCAAGCCCTGCATAAATTAACACCGGTCCATCTAAAAGGGCCATGGGTTTGCACAAGTTTCCCCGGTTCGGTCAGTACTTCATCATTAGGGATAAAGGGGCTTTTGTAACGCGATACCAATTAAATCGATTGCCCCTTTCCCTCCAACTTAATTTGAGATCATATCAAATTTTCTAGCGTGCTCATTTTTGAAATGTCACTATGATTAAAAACTGCACATAGTTTCTTCATTAGGTAAACGTTCTTTTAATTCAAGATTCTAAAAAACTGTTAATTTGTCAAATTATGTATCATTGTTAAGTTTTTAATGTTGGCTGTGACTTGTTTGATAGCATAAACCTATCATATTTCCTAGGTCATATTACTTTGTCCTTATAGATTATTTTTTGCTGTAGTTGGAGAAATGTATATATATTTGAAAGTCTGTCGATATGGTGAGATTTTCTGATTTATTTGAGACTGACGAGATTTATTCGCTTGATGGTTATATCACCAGGATTCCTTTAGAAAATTATGGTTGATTTTTAGAAAGGATTTTATCTTAAGCCTTTCATTGATTACACTCAATTTTTCACTTTGAAATCTCGGGTCACGCTAAATCCCAAGTCCTCGAAAGCTATCTCGTCGTTTGATTGGCGTGGAGGACTTCGCGTGTCTTTAATGGGGCGTTCCCCATTGGTACTGGGCTACACCAATCACACTAATGCAACTGACTCACCGGCATTCCAGCCAGGACAAAGCACGGTAAATTGCCCCTCAAGGAACACGATTTTGATGCCTTCGATTCACTTTATCTCTTTGTCCCTGGCCAAAATATACCCCTCTGATTTTGACCTGTGAAAGTGTCCGAAAGTCATAAAACTTATCGCTATGTGTTCCCTTACATGAAAGAATTTGATTACTGAAACCAATCAGATTCCTCTTCAGGTCGAAAACGATGTCTCTGAAACTTGTGTTTATTTGTCACTTTAATTGTACAGTGTACTTTTCTTTAATTCGATAATTTGGACCTGCTTAACTAACTTTATAACATGGATATATGTTTTGCCTGATTACCCATCTTTTGCGAGACAATTTTCGCTTTACTAGGGGGTTAGGTTAGCTTAGTTTGTACGGCATTAGGTTATGTTAGGTTAGAGGAGGTCGTCTACACATGGAGCTACTCAAAATAAACAACTGTTTTATGGCTGGAATAATTAATCAGTTACTATCTCATTAGTGACCCGGATCTACACATGGATCTACTCGAAAAAATATAGAAATCAGTAGTTTCTTCAGTGAAATCACGGAAGGAACATCATTTCTGCCTTTGTTCGTTGGCAGTGATGATTCATAGCGATGAAGCTGTTATATTCCATTACTATCATCCCCACGCTTTTCATTGTCGTCTTTCTTCCCGTCTCCAGGAAGCCTAAACGTAAAAAAAGTGATGTTTTTAATTGCTCACACTAATATGTTCACCTGTTGCTCGCCCATCATGAAATCATCCAAAACTGAGTAATTTCAGTCATTAGTGACTCAACAGCCAAGTTGCGTGGAACTGATTACCACACATTACTACCGGCGTTTGCGGTGTCCCAAGAAGTCACTCGTTGCCGCCTGGTTAACAACTACAACTCAGTACTATATATCAGTTTCTCGGTAGCTCCGTGTTTAGATGCTTTACGGTTAGATACTGGTTAGGCTGTACAGGGTTTGGTTAGGGTCTGTATATACACGTCTATACGTGTTAAGTTACTTGACGCAAATTTCTTTCTAGTCGACAAACCCGGTTATCGCCGATTCTAAACCTATCTGAACAAACTTTTATCCTACCTTTCTTTGCTGTTTTGGTCGTGTTTTGGCTTCTCGCCATCTTCATCGGTTTTGTTTTTTTATTTGGTTGATGACATGTCATATCAGGCATGATATACAACAGACCTTAACATCCTACATAAAACCAAAGACTTCACTGCAGAAACTGAAAACCACTACAATTTAAATTTGCTTGACTTACGTATTACAAAAATGAAGAGATAACTATAAAATTTCACTGAAGATGGGGAGAAACCGAAATGTTGGACACAAGCTCCAACATCGAGAATACCAGTCGGAAACAACCAAACTTGAGTCTCATTTTTTGTTTCAACTTTATTTATTATAGCCTTTCGAAAGAAAACGTATTTTTTTCACAATCAGAAAGATAAATCTTATCAGTGCAACTTATCGTCCCACAAAGTTATTCGTTTTGTATACAGGTTAACTTCAACTTTACTTAGTATAGCCTTCCGAAAGAAAACATTTTTTTCACAATCAGAAAGATAAATCTTATAGGTACAACTTATCGTCCCACAAAGTTATTAGTTTTGTATACAGGTTAACTTCAACTTTAATTAGTATAGCCTTCCGAAATAAAAGTGGTTTTTTTTTTCACAATCAGAAACATAAATCTTATCAGTACAACTTATCGTCTCACAAAGTTATTCGTTTTGTATACAGGTTAACTTCAACTTTACTTAGTATAGCCTTCCGAAAGAAACCTTATTTTTCACAATCAGAAAGATAAATCTTATCAGTACAACTTATCGTCCCACAAAGTTATTCGTTTTGTATACAGGTTAACTTCAACTTTAATTAGTATAGCCTTCCGAAATAAAAGTGGTTTTTTTTTCACAATCAGAAACATAAATCTTATCAGTACAACTATCGTCTCACAAAGTTATTCGTTTTGTATACAGTTTAACATCAACTTTACATAGTATAGCCTTCAGAAAGAAACCTTATTTTTTTCAGAAAGATAAATGTTGTAAGTACATTCACTAGTTTTCGTGGTACGCATGACCAATTAATATCTTTCAATTAATTAAGGTTTTTAGTTGAGATAAAAAAAGTCTATATTAATTGTTCAGAAATGTGTAGAGATTAGTGACCGTTAATCGATAGTTATTCAGATATCGTGAGATACGGTCGGGTGTGATGTAGGTTTCAGAAAAACATTTTCTTTATCGTGCCAACGTTTCGATCTTTTATTGAGATCATCTTCAGGGCTCAAAGTGTTTGTCTTCTGTGTAATTGTGCCATCCTTGCGAGTCGTGTTGAGAGTGCCCAATTACACAGAAGACAAACACTTTGAGCCCTGAAGATGATCTCAATAAAAGATCGAAACGTTGGCACGATAAAGAAAATGTTTTTCTGAAACCTACATCACACCCGACCGCATCTCACGATATCTGAATAACTATTAATTGTTCATGCGGACCACGAAAACTAGTGAATTTAATAAGTTAAAATGAAGTATACCTTCACTAAAGCTCTCTGTGGCCATTTCATTTGTCGCCGAGAATCCAATAGATTACACGGCATTTGAAAAATGGCAAAAAGGAGTGAAAATTCAAAAGGTGGTGTTAAGATGGGAAGTTGGTGTCCGAGTTGATCGAGGTCACGATAGCTCAAGTGGTAGAGCAGCGGCGTATTTAACCGAAGATGGTGGGTACGAATCCCGCTCGTGACACTGACTTTTTTATCTCAACTAAAAACCTTAATTAATTGAAAGTTATAAGTACAACTTATCGTCCCACAAAGTTATTCCTTTTTGTATACAGGTTAACTTGCAGATAGTTCATTACCACTTCACTAACTTTGTCTTCCTCTTTTTTCATCTTTAGTGATTTCCCAACGAAAATAGATTGCTCCTTCTTTTTTGAGACGAAGAGTTAAGGTTTTGACTAGGGTTTTGTTTTGTACTCATACTCTGAGACGAATCATCATACTTTCAAGCAGGAATGTATCGACTAATGATTTTATAAAATTACGCCTTCTATTTTCTTCTAACTTGGATGTTTATTAATAATATAAACCTGCAATCAATAACCTTTCTTATTTTCAGGGATACGAGGGTTCTCTTCTGAAAGTGACCAGCAAAAATGGGAAAACAGCATCGGTAAGTGTTTTGCATCATGGACTACCTTTTAGGAGCCGGTGTTTTTTACCTTTTGTTTCTTAAATGCCCTTAACCGTTGTTTATTGATCAAATCCCAAAATGTAATGTCAACCTCATTAAATTGACTAGAGTGAGGGAAAAATCTCTCTGATTCTTTGTTAAATGTTGTCCCTCTTCCCAGCCAGGAATCAATATAAACATCATTTTCATTTAGCCTTATTTGCCCGGAGGTTTTTTTTCTTCTCGAATTGATCCACACGGTTCTCAACGATGTTTCTGTTACAGCCAGTGGGTTTTGTCACTTTCAACACAAGGGCAGGTGCAGAGGCGGCTAAGCAGGATCTACAGGTGAGAATTGCATAAATAATTTTTAAAATTAGTTTTTCATGTTAAAAACTTCATAATTGTAACACTAAATGTTTAATGGGGACCGAATTTGTAAATTTGATTTAAATTTAAACTAACATTTAACATTATTTCATACATCACGAAATGTAATTATTTAAATAATTTGTCGTTTTTAAAAACGATTTTTTAATATTTACTTTATCCAAAATCTGCTAAGAAAACAATAATTGTTAAAACAGACCATTCTTCGGCAATATTTAATCTCCCTCTGGACAACCCTACTTAATTGTGGCAAAACATAACAATAAACATATGTACAGTACGTTGATGACAAAGTAACATGAACAAAAGCATAAACCACGTACTAAAGACCAGACGTCGTTATTTAAAAATATAATTTCCTTACAGGACAAGATAAAAGCAACATTATAAAGTTCCTTGACCTAATAATTACAAAACCGGACAATAAACTGCACTTCGACATATACAGATAACCAAAGGCAACTGATAACATCATATGAGCTGACTCACCCTCAGCTACATAAAATAGAAGCAGTAAAGTGCATGGCGGACATACTAAAAAGTACCATTAACCGAAAAAATAAAACAACGAATAAAATATAGCACATACAACGGCTACAACACAGTCATAATAATTAAATAATCACACATCAATAAAAAAAAACGTTTTGAGGGAAAAGGAAAGAGACTTACAAACTAACGAATCTATTTTTAAAAAATGAAAAATAATAACTGCTTAGGACACAACAAACATAATTGGAAAACTTAACAAAACGTCGACTAGACCAACCCAATAAAAAAATCGTATATGCACAATATCACAAAATTCACGGGATAGACAGGACAAAAAATAAATATAAAGAGCAAATAAATATTATTAAATATACAAATAAAAATTAAATATAAGATTTTTCATTGATGGACTACGATGGTAATTCAAACTACCCGCTCACCTGATAAAAAGCCCCTATGAAACCCTCAACAGTACAGACAAGTAATTAATCTTTAAGTAAGGTATTGATTGAGATAAAAAAGTCAGCGTCACAAGCGGGATTCGAACCCACGACCTTCGGCTAAAATACGCCGCTGCTCTACCACTTGAGCTATCTGGACTTCGATCCACTCGGACACTACCCATCTCAACCCCACCTTTTGAATTTTCCCTCCTTATTGCCATTTTTCAAAAGAAGGGAAAATTCAAAAGGTGGGGTTGAGATGGGGAGTGTCCGAGTGGATAGAAGTCAAGACAAAGATCAAGTTGTAGAGCAGCGGCGTATTTAACCGTAAGTCGTGGGTTCGAATCCCGCTCGTGACACTGACTTTTTTTATCTCAGCCCATACCTGACTTCAAGATTAATTAATCGAAACGAATTTATTTGGTCAATCGGACCACGAAACCTAATCAATATTGACAAGTTTGAAATCACTCCACGTTACACAAAGTCCAAAAATTTATCATAAAATGAAATCTTAGAGATGTACAAAAATAACATATTGAACTCTGAAAATACTTATGAATACATAAATTAATATACATTACGTACACAATTTATGCATATAAATTGAAAAGAACAGACTATCAACAGGACCAACTAGAATAGTAAAAATGCATAGACCTATTTCAAAACACAGTCAGACAAAGTCCGGCCCTCATTTCCTCTTTCTCGAAGCTATAAAAGGGACTCCACTAAATTAAATCATACAGACCAACTGAAGATTTCAAGAAGCCGAAACACTACTGGTAAACCAAAAGGAGGATAGGCAGACATTGAGCTGAGGGAACATTATTAGTAAGTTGTAGTTTTCGCCGACAATAACCATTTTTCAATGAGTAAAATCTCAGTAAGGTTTCGTAACTTCTTGGAAATATGAAAAAAGGTAATATGTTTATGTTTTTTATGGTTTCATATTGGGTCTATAGAGTAATGTAATTCCTGCCATACAAGAGGCTTAAAGTTCAACTTGGTGCCGCGCACGATGGGTCAAACCACTTAACATTTCTTTTGCTAAATGATTATCAATTGAAATTCTATAGGCTATGCCAGGTTTCGAACCCAGAACCGCTAGCCTGGCAAAAAGGAGTCGGACGTCCTAACCACTCGTCCACCTCGGTCCTCCGTCTTTATAAATTTATAATCTTTTCAGTTTTTTCCTTTTAATAACAAGACTTGCGACTTGAATATTAAGAAAGGCAGCACCCTAATATATCATGGTTACCATCGAGCCTGTAATTCCGTGGTGAAGGCGAGATATTAGACAATTTATATCCTCCGGCGTTCATTACGTAAACAGTTATTTTCTCGTCGAGGAAGACCTACGAAGAAGCGCACCCATAGTTGTTAAAATTTACCCCTTCGGACGGTCTCGAGTGTGTAAATTTCCCTTTGAAACGTCATTTTTACCTGGGGCGTGAGTGGATCTCCAAACCGGTGGAATCGCATTAATAATAAAAGGACCACGGCGCGGGGGGGGGCGAAGGTTGTCAGAGGCGGTAAAAATCCAGTTGAGGGCAAGTGGCTCTGAAATGAGAGTAGTTGATGTTCGCCATTTGCATCTGAATGCCTTGTTCCTTTCAGATTACCAGTAAGAGAGTCAGGGGCGTGGGTCTTTCCCTACTTATTCCGCTAATACATCACTTTTGATATTAAACTTTGATCCATGGGCTTAATTCGGCTTAAAGTCTTGACCATTTCATTCGGCCGTTTTTAAGTTAGGTAAATAAAGTATATTTCTCAGTTTCATTTTTTTCTTTTGTGACCGTCTTAAACTGGGATTTACATAAAAGTATCCGAGCGATTTCAAGCCATACGATTTCTACCTCAAACCCAGACATTGTGATCTCAATCAGTTGAATAAAACTGTAGAAAAATTATATTTCTAGATATACAGTGTTAACCTTAATTTTTTCGATAACTAAGAAAAATTTTAAAATTTCAAAAACAATTTCATTTTTAATAATATTAAAAAATTAAACCTTGTGACAAATTTCAGGAAATCAGGTTTGGAATAATAATATTATAAGTCGTTTTAAATTGCATTATTGATAAATGGAAATTATTACTGTTTCGAGTTTTTAAATAATAATAATCCCTATTATAGAGCTCTTTTGATTCCAAAATGTTGTATTCAGATTTAAGTTGAAAAAAGCAAAGGAAGTATCATAATCAAAAGAAAATTTAAACGACTTTCTTTTTCGCATTCCTTATTATAGCATCTGGTCAATTATTATTTTAACGGCAATTATGCTAATAATATTATTTTGATTGTTTTATTTTTATTTTTTTTATTTATTTTTCTTCTTATTTTCATTAACGGTCATTTTAATTGGTTTGTGAGAGCAAGGTTGTGTTTTATTCCTTTTTTGCGTTTTGGCAGCTCTTATGCCATCGTGATGTTAAGTTCACAGCAAGTTCAAGTTCAAGTTAATTCCCGTTTAAAAACCATATAGCTTCTGCAATTAGCCTTAAAACAACACAAGGCTGTTTATCACTGTTTATCATTCTTGATTTAGGATAAATGGGTAGGTGTATTGGCTGTAATATATACAATAATCTGATGAAGGTTTCACTTTTGATACGTAATTGACGGATATTTGGTCTCGTAAACTGTAAACCCCTATGACTTGAAACCTAAGGTAACATTTTTGTAAAAAGTCGTTCAAATTTTTTAATTCGGTTTTAATTCGCCTTTCGGAGTTACCATCCAGCAAGCGAATTGCAATATAGACGTCATTTAAACTTACCTTGACCTAAAGAAGTTTTGTCTTGGTTGAACACCAAGCCTAATGGTATGCTACTTGTGTATAGCAGTTGTGGAAGTTCAAGCGTTTCTTAACTTAAAAGAAATACGCCATAGAACTTCTATATCTCCTATCCATGTTCTAGATGTCCTACAAGGCAGCGTCCTCGCTCCCGTTTTACTCGCTTTATACTTCCGACCTACCCACTCAACCTAACACAGTTATCTCGCCACTATTACGTCACAACTAATCTCAAAGATCACTGGCATATCCTCGAATCCTTCCTTCCGAATCAGGATTCGGACATTGGAGAAGGAAGGTTCACGAAACCAAATCCACTTAAATAGTATATACACTAAATGAGAAAATGCTCCCTCCTGTGTACTTCAAAAATGTTTCCATCCCCGTTTTGTACCATGGATCTCGGACTCTACTTGGACAAACGACTGACGAACCGCCATACACGACTTGCACTGTAACATACGATTTATCATGTTGAAACGACTACTCGACCGACTATCTAAACATTGACAGACAAAAGAAATGGATTCTTTCTTTGGTAGGGTGATGAACCCTTGATCTTTACCGGTTAACTTTGTCTGTTGTGCTGCCTCTCGGCATTTTGCCATCTTCAATGAGTGATTTTTAATATTGGATAAAAAATGTATATATCAAAAATATTTCCGAGACAATGCATACTCTTATTTTGTTTTTAATTAGTATATTCTTACAAAACGGTCACCATTAATTGTTCCATTTTATGTGATTACTAATCATACAACTTTATGTACAAAGCATTTTTGCTTTCCCTTACACACAAGCTTGAGCTTGTAACTACAAATCTTGCACCAGACATAACACCACTGAGGTTGGTCGGATGGTGTCTAGGATGAGGCTTTAACGGGTGCCCTGCCCATCCCACTTTTCCCTTTAAGCCCTTTTTCCCATCCTTTCAAAAATATTTGATAAAGTCAGAAAGAAATAGAATTTTGGCCCAAGGGGCTTGTTACCCTACAATTATTTCTTCACTAATACAATATTGATACAAAAGCCCTGTTACTATCGTAGTATAAACAAAGTTCCCACTTATCTATTTGTTTTTTCTAGTAATTCGTTACTTTTTCTTTCTTTTCTATCTTTCTCTATCCTTAACACATAGAACACGAGAACACACATTTACACAACTGCACTTAAATAGCTGGTTAAGGCACGGATATCCGTATTATTTACCACTTCTCTATGTAGTTGTACACTTTTTAATTTTTTTTCAATTTTAAGTAAACGACTTAATATTTACCTGAAACAGGCGATGTTTTTTTAATAATTTATAATTATTGGCCTGTGGAAGGCTTGGCAAACTATATTCGACCTGAAAGTGGGCGTCACGGGCATTAGCCGGTAAATTTTTTTTTTTTTTTAAACATGCGCGTAAACTTTTTCAATAAATTGACCTGCGAACCCTTGTAAACATAATGTATGGTGTAAAATTCAATAAAATAATGAATTTTTAACTTATCAAAGGTTGAAAATATCTATTCTATATCATCGAAAAAAAATAGGAAAATACGCTCACTTTGCGGCACGTATTTTTTTTGGCAAAAATGTGGGGCTACGTAGGGAAGTGGTTTTTGTCTTATTTTTCTTCATATCTATATATTTTTCTAAAGATGAAATATATTTTTTTTGTCATTTTTGTCTATTTTTTCTTTAAATTCGTAATTTTATATTTAAAAAAAAATCCTTTTGGGAAATATAAGATTTTTTTGTCTCCGAAAATTCGGGTTTTTGACGGTTCGATGGGTGTTAATGATTACAGCAGGGTGTCCGGTTCGATCCAGACATGCCGCAGACGATCCGGCTGGAGTTTGCAAAGAGCAACACCAAGGTCAGCAAGCCCAAGCAGTCCACGGCTAGTATCACCAACTCGCACCCAACTATAATGCACCCACTCACTGGACGTAAGTAAACCCACCCTGTGCACTAAGAAATGAAAGAGAAAAAATAATAAAAACCTTTAAAAAAATAATAATAATAAAAACAACACACGAGTAACGATCATCATCTCATTTCCCCATACCTTGGGAAAACTGGCACGTTTCACGCAATCACCCACTTTTTCCACTGTGTATCTATTGTGTACTTAATTAAATTCACGCATTTTCCATTTATTTTTTTTTAACTAATTCATAATTTTTTTATTTAAAAAATCATATTGTTTGTATGTGTGTGATCTATATTGCACAGCTAATAACAGGTTTTTTCTTATTTATTTATATTTTTCTTTCCCAGGATTTAAAAAAATTATAAATCATCCTTTTTTTTAATACAAATATCATCCGCCCACTAATCCAGACATGTTCTACGCCAATGATCGCTGGAGCACGCTGGATTTGCGAGATATCAGTTGCAGTCGGAATTTAATTCATCAATCGTAGATAATTAGGTGATGCACACTAATCAACTATAGCTGTAAACTGTAACAATTAATCATGGACCTGGTGGAATTATCATCCTGTTGCCTCATAAATTCCTCTCGGAGCCGACTCCGTGAAATATTGTCCGAGGAAAAATAATAGCGATCGGCACCTTGGAAATATTGTGTTTATTCAACTTTATAGTAAAATATGACTTTAAAATATTTAATAAACTAATTAAATGTTCACCAAGGAATGAAGAATGAGTACAATTTTTCTCTTCTTACAGACGCGTGTTTGGCGAATTCTTATTTTATCTATAGTTACAACATAAACATCAAAAAAATTAGTATAATCTTGCAGTTATGGTATTTTTTATTATGGATTAATTATAATGTAGGGTGTTTTTGAGAACAATTTTATGGAATCATAATTTTAGTGTTGAAGACTAAACATGTCGTAACTGCTTTCTCAGCTGCGAGATTTTTGCTCAAACTTTTGTCTCTACACTGTACCTAGTTGTCCATACCAGATTTTTAAAACCCACATAAATTATTATTCGTAATTACAAAATAATTGTAATTTAAAACACAATTATTTTAGTGTTGGAGACTTAGCAAGTCGTAAGTTCTTTCTGACGTGATCAGATTTTTGTTCGAAATTTTACCCCTACACTTCTTCTTTGTCGAATATTAAATAAAATAAAATCTAATTCCTGGCAGCGAAGATCTGTGCATACTATTTTTTATATTTTGGCCTTTTGGACAATTATTCTCAAATATTTCATTAAATTTTTTTGTTGAAATTATTTTAGCCTTCTCGTTTTTCTTTTTTCATTCTTGCTTTCTATTATGTATGCTTAACAAACAAAAATTATTATAAACAATGTAACAAATGTATGGAATAATGATTTTAGTGTTAGAGATTTAGCAAGTCATAATTCGAATTTTCTTTGAACTTTTGTTTCTACCTCCTTTGGAAGTTTAATTAGCTAAAATCCATTATTAGTATTCCAGGCGAATAAATTATACATATCCATTTAAGTTTCTTAAATTTGGTATAGACTCGTACTCATGAATTTTTTTACTTTTCTTAATTATTAAGTAAGAATAATTACTATGTAAGGGGTAAGAAAAAATCACCCCTACAAAACTACAAACAAAGTATAATAAAATAATTACCAAATAAGAATTGTATGTATTAATAATTTTAGTGTAGGAAACTAGTATCTCCTAAGTTCTTTCTGCCAATACTAGATTTTTGCTCACACTTTTATCCCTATCTCATGAAATTATTATACTTAATTACTAAAAACATGGAAAATTTTTAATTTGGTCTTGTACTTATAGTGTTTTTTCTATTTTTCTTGTCTACTATGGGTTATTTATAGTGTAGGGTTTTCTAAGAACCCTCCCTTCATAAAAAAAGTCAAATAGAAATTATAATATATTAATTATAAAATATACGTAAACAATCTTATGGAATAATCATTTTTGGACAAGTTGTAAGTTCTTTCTGTTACCACTAAATTTTTATTTGAACTTTTTTTTCTCTTCATTGCTCACTTTTTGCAAGTTTAATCAGGTAAAATTCAGTATCAACACTCCTGGCTATTATTTTTATTCGTTTATTTTAGTAAAATTTAGTATAATCCTGTCCTTATGGTCTTGTGTCTCTTCCTTTTTTACTATTATTATGTATTAATTATTTTAAATAAAAACTTTCTTTTACGAGAGTATTTCAACTACGAGGTTATATGAACCCTCGAGTATATCGGGTTCGAATGCAGGGCCGCTGGATTCGAACCCGGGACCTTTACCTTACAGTGATGAGCGCCGTGTCAACGCCGAAACCGTTGCTTATTTGTCACTTGTTGAATAAAATTTTGATTTCTTGTACAATTATTCTTCAATATTTCATTAGATTTAATTGTTGTAGTATAAGAAGTATGGATTTACATCTCTCTCTCTCTCTCTCTCTCTCTCTCTCTCTCTCTCTCTCTCTTCTCTCTCACTCTCTTTCTCTCTATCTCTCTCTCTTATTTTCTTTCTTCTCACTTTCTTATTTTCTATTATGAATGTTTAAAAAGTATAGAAATTACTAATAGAAATAAACCTAGAACAAGCGTTTTTCTAGTGTTTTTAGATTTTTATGTCGACTTTTATCGCTTTACTTCTCATTTATCGTATGTTGGGATAACATTAATAAATTCTAAAGGTATCAAGAATTTAGCCTGGTCAGACTTATCTAAAAATGAATACTACAGATAAGTAGATTAATGTTTCCTGTCGTGCAATGAAACACAAGGTAACAATTAGCTGTTATCATTTTACATTAAAAAACGACTGGGCCAATTGGCCGTCTTAGTGTGGCATCGAAATCTATTAAAATAAGTTGTCTAAAACTGTATTTATTTAAATTTTTATTTTTTAAAATCATCATTCTGTATTGGTGCCCCATGTTTTCTCTAGTGGCTTCTTGTTCATCTATGAATGTCGCATTATCGATGGTGATGATGAGGAGGAGATTTTTTTTATGATGAAGATGGTTGACCATGATGGTTTTACAATTGGACATGATTAATTATTAGCCAGTACTTCAAGTGTAATCAGTACTTGATTCTGTATCACTGCCTTATTTACACCCAGATGGTTTTTTGGCGGATCGACTATTATTTTCAAGTTAATATTCATTCTTGGCTATGAATAATTCTTGTTTAATAGTTCAGATGAAGATATAAAAGAATGATTTAAGTAGAATTGCACTCTACTTGGTTGTATTTTACAGATGTCTGGTTGGCGGTTAGAATGACTAAGGTTAAAACGTATCTTTATTCTCTCGAAAAAAATTCTCGTCCTCACGAATTGGGACTTAACGAATACTTGTAAAGAATTGCTCAAAGATGTAGTAAGGAAGTTAGTCCTGTAACCGGGGAAAGCACCAGTGTACTGTTAAGTACAATAAAGGGGAGGATGCAATAGCCCTTAAAGGGCGCTGAACATTCAAGCCCAGACATCTACAATCTATGTTCTCTTTATACCGACCTTCCTGAATGATAGTCTGTGAATCTAAGTCTGAGCCGATTTGGTTCGCAAATTAATTTTAATGATGGATCGCAATGTATCATCCATAACCAACTTGCTGAGCACTAGATGTTTGTCTCGTGATTTTTCGTTGTCTTTTCGTATGAAGTTTGTTCAAATTTGCATAGTGGACTTTATTTTTATTGTGTTTCGGCAATTTTTTCATCAGTTTCGGATTTCATTTTTAGTCAATAAATAGACAAATGTTAATTAAGAAAGGACTCTGCAAATACTTTTTCCTTGATTGATTCCGCATGCATTTCTTACACACTTCAGTTTTCTTCCTTGGTTTATAATGAAAAAGTCATCGATCCGATTTGTAAAACGTTTAACGAAAACGAAGCCGGCTCACGCTATTTGCTTTCCTCGGATGGTAGATTAAAGCAATTGTCCCTACAAGATTGGTTTACCCCTCCACCCCACCCTGGAAATATATATTTGTGTTTAAACCTTTTTCTGTTTTTTGTTTTTCTTTTCAAGATTACTGTTTCGGGGGTACAAAGCTATACGATGGAATCTCCTATTACGATTCCGGTAAGTGGACGACTCGTAAAAGTTTACAAGTAAGGTGCTTGGCTATTTGGCTATGACTTATCAAGTTAATTTAGATTTGCCGTATTTGGAAATAGAAGGGGCTATTTCAAAATGTTAATTGAATTATGGAAGATGACGGTAACGTTTGTTTAAAATGAACCGATATAACTGGTCGATCTCCCTTTCGTCCTGACGTCTCATAGTTGACGATGTCGGTCGAAACTTTTCGACATGAAAAGTTCAATGTCCTCGGTAAAACGCACGTCTTGAATTTTTCTCAGACGAAAAGCACTTTTCCTTATATTTTAAGGAATGCGACACGGAAACAAATAAGTATTTGCCAAAATTGGCTCACGTCCTCTTTCCATCGATCGAGTTATTTGTCCGCTCCTGCTAACACGTGCTTTCCGGTAATCGGCCCTTGCTTGCCGGCTGAGTCGGAAAATAGACACGCCGCCTCTGTAAATCATACCCCGATTGAATAAAACCTGGGTGAAGGACTGAGATGATCTTTATCCGAGTAGAGAGGCCCTTGGTCAACGCTTGGTCCTCCCTCGAGGGCGGTTTTTGGCCCACCTCCAAAACACTGTACCTATAAACTCTTGTTAGAAGATCCTCCGCCCATCCAATTAATTCTCTTTGAGACGATAAATTCTCCAGACGATTTTATCCGGGAGCTTTATGACTTTGGAAAAACTTGTCCCTTTCTACAATCCCAAGGATCTAGAGCCTAATTGATTTGACTTATAAAGACTTTATAATTCACTTGTTTTCTATTGCAACTGATATCTTCATCCACTTTTTTTAAAGATGGTACGACACGATGTTTAAAAAAATTATTTTTATTATTAATATTTTCAAATGTAGGGTAGGCAACATTATGAAAAACCTTATTTTCTTAAATGTACAATATGAAAAAAGGTTGTTTTTGTTTGTTTTTTTAATACAAAAATGGTATTTTTAACAAATAGACACTAAGTCTAAAGTTTTATTTATTTCCTGTGCTTGCTTGATGGGTACTCAAAATTAATCAATTATTTTAAAACTCCCTAGGCAACAATAGTGCCATTTATAAAAAAATAAATAAAGCATTCCAAAGAAATAGAAATTAGGAGTAGTTCTTGGACCAGAGGTTAATGTGAAACAGCTTAAGAGAACCCACAACTGAGTACTAAAGGAACAACGGATAAGCCAAAGACTCTATGGTAGAATTTGGGAGCTAAATCCTAAATCTATTACACTAGTCAGAACCAATAACACGTATGTAAGTTACATGTGGTGGCCAAAAATAAAACAAAGAACGGCATGGGAACCACTTCAAAAATTTCAAATAATGGCATGCCGGCATGGTGCTAAGTTAACACTCACCGCCACAATGGAACATATCCTGAAGCTAACCTTTACCTGGGGTTCTTAACCAATGAGAATTCACCTATTGGAGAAAAGAAAACATCAAAAAAATTCTACTAAAACTATCTTTAACTTATCAGAAAAAATACTTTGAAAACCGATTCAATGTAATTATTTAAAAGAGAGCAAAATGGTTTGGTGGGGAAGTAGAGAATCTGTAACGGATGCTTAAATGGTTGCAAGTTGTGACATACACGTGTGAAAAGCCAGAAAAAGAAGTTCAAACATGCAGAGTGCCAGCAATGACGTCAGCAGTTTATCGGACCCTAGACTTCCCACATTATATAAATTAAACAAAAAATTTGGATGTCTTTTATGGTAAACTGATGGCTCAAATATGGGAAATGGTACGAGTATGGGCATAAAAAGATCTAAGTATGAGCATAAAGAGGTCTAAGTACAAGCCTCATATGGCCCACTATGAGCATAAAGAGGTCTAAGTGGGAGCTTCATATGGCCCAGTCTGAACATAAAAAGGTCTAAGTAAGAGCCTCATATGGCCCAGTATGAGCATAAAGAGGTCTAAGTAGGAGCCCCACCATAAACATCTTTCAAGTAAAATTGTAAGCCATAAAAACACGTGCTCATGAAATAAACAAGAAAAATCTCACAGGTTCAAGGATAATAATATTCAAATAGCCAAGCAGCTCTAAAGGCTGTCCAAGCCTACAAGATCATCTCCAAACTTGTCTGGAACTGCATAAATACCCTAATTGATCCGAATTAGGTTGTGCAAATAGCCTAATGCTAAAGTGGTTCACAGGCCAAGAAACCTCAGATCAACACAGGCATAATTCATTTTGTGCATAAACTATATAGCCACAATAAAGAACAGAGATCTTGGGGTTACTAGTTGCAATGACCCAACCATCCCTAAAGAATTCAAGAAAACTGCGAAAGTACGCCAGGCATTAGGCAAGCAAAAGTTACTAAGAAACGACTCAATGGAGAAAGAGAAAATCCTATTCAGCAAAAAGGAATTAAAAAACAGATATATTTATGGGGCATGCTCTAGTAAAACACCACTTAACTAAAACACATCTATCAACAAAGAGCAATGTCCAGAATAGACACCAGAACATACCTTACGCAATTGCCCTGCAATCTAGAAAAGCCGTTCCTTTGCAATATTGACCTAGATACCATACCCTGGAGAAGAATTTTGTTCTTTCTTAAAGAAATTAAAATCTTCCCAGCAAACCATAAGCAGAGATCAGACATAATAAAAGTTTAAGTGAATTGTGGGAAAAAATTCTCCAAATTTTTACTACCCGGGAACAAAGCACTCAAATTTATTTATAAGTCAGGCACTTATTATAAATTGACTCCTTTCTAAATTAACAATTTAAAATTATTATTTCCATGACTTCATCTTGAAAGCCATTCCATTCATTAAATTCATCATTTTTATTTATTTGGCTAATATGACAGCCTCATCGTTTTTCAATTTTTCTCAATTTTTGGTCAAATTATATTTCATACATTTTATTATTTTTGGGTGATTGTGATTTAGAATTCCTGGTTATAATATTTTTATAAATTGTATATACACAAGGTTTAGAGTCTAAGTGGTCCTTTTACACATTTTAATTATTTTTCCAAATAAATACAATTTAAAAAAATTTTAAGTATATGAATCTTCATTTGTTTTCTTGTGCCAAATGAGCTGGAATAGGCTTTAATGATTTAACTATTTGTGAAAGAGGTCCAGTAGACTCCTTAATAATGGCTTTCACATTTCTTACATTTGTTTTTTGTTTTTGGTACAATTGCAGATCTTGGAGGTCCTTTCTTCGCAGGTGGGCCTGAGCTGTGGCCGCACCCTTTGGCATATGCAACGGCAGCAGAGCTACCTGGGACAGCTCTTCAACATGCTACTCTAGTTCACCCAGCCCTACATCCCCAGGTCCCAGTACGTTCCTATCTTTGACTATCCGGAGACAAGCAGGACTCGGTGGCGGCTGCCACACCCTACCACCATGTAGGCAGACACAGCCCGCCCTTCACCTTTTATGTTTTTTTGATTTTCTTTTCTTTTATTAAATTTTTATTTTCGTCTTTTTTTTCTCAAAATAAGTAAATCATTTTTTATTCCCTTAATTTTCTGTTTTATATTTCTAAAATGTTAAATAACTGGATTGTTTTTATAATTTTATTATACTGGTAATAATTTTATTTTTCATTTTTCCTTAGTTGTAACATTTGGTTATAGCATTAGAAAAAAAATTATTAAACCAGTGTGAGCAAATGTTGAAATAGGGGGATACATTGTGATTTACTTATTTCTTTTCATCAAAAGGAGGAAGTATGAATGATCCAGTTTTGATTTTTTTTTCTTTTTGATTTCCATTTTGTTTTTGCAACATGAGACACCCGAACCTTTTCTAGAAGCACTCAAAACACTGTTTTCCCTATTTAAGTTCAACCAATGGCCAAAAATGTACCAATTACTCTTCTATCCAGCCAACACTGCACAGCACACTTTCACTGGCAATAATTAGCAGCTTTATAATGGAGTGTTGTTTACACCTAGTGCAAATAAACACAAATTCTACAAGAAATAAATATTAAGGTTATTTTAACAGCAAATTGAGCAATGCACATGCATTAATAGCCTACTAACGGCAGCCGGTTAAACATTTGTTTTGCCATTCTGGAATTTATCAGCTTAAAAATGCCATCATAATTTTAGAAGGAGAAAAACCAAAGTTGCTTCAGTTTCAGTCGTTTTGTTGTGTACATATTTTAAATCTAAAAACATATCTAAACCAATATTAGTTATCAGCCTGCTTTTCTGGTAAACAAAAGATCATCAGAAAATTTAGACGTATTTATCAACTTATTCTCCAGAGCAAAGCATCAGTTATTTATTAATGTCCATTTTTTTAAAATTCATTTTATGCTCAAAAGTTTTGGCTTTAATATTTACTAATATTTAGTTGAGGGTAAGAATAAAATAACATTTATTTAAAGGTCAATGATAATATAATTATGGGGTATTCATTGCAAATACTTCTATTATTCATATATTTTTGTTTAATTAAAAGTTGGCCACATACTCAAGTTTATAAACCATGATTTTCCCCTGTACAGCACCATTCTTTCATGTATTCCATTCTAACCTAGCTGCAATAGTTCTTACCCTTGCACCCTAATATACTTACCCCCTTTCTTTTTTTCAAAATTCCCCTTGTATAATTAAATTGATTTTATACACTACCCCCCACCAGTGAAATGATATTGTAGGACATGTCTGTTAAATGAGTAATTGATTAGGAACCCCTTTAAACCCTGCCCCCTTATTTATCTAATTGTTTTATTTTTGAAAGCTTCCACTATTTTTGTTCATAATTGTTTCTGTATAAAAATTATGATTGAATGATGGTTTGTAAATATTGAATGTCTACATTCCTCCCAGAAAGTGTAAATAGTTTGTATAAGGTTAGACCAAAGCTTGGAGATGTTGATTAACAAAGCCGACTAAATTCAACCCACTTAGCTTGCTTGTCTCCTAAATATTTTGTTTTCATTTAAAATGTTTTGTTTTCTACTGTCAGTTTGTTGCCGTTGTATTCATAACAAACGTGATAGTATAAGATGCCAAAGCATGTCGATCGTTAGTGTTCTTGATAAAAGTGTCATTTTTTTAACCGTACTTGGTGATTTTATGCTTGACATCGCACTTTTCTCATTTAAAAAATAAATGCATGGCTATTTGTATTTTGAAAACAGTTTATAATCTTTAATTGTTATCAATTCACAAAATAATTGTTCTTTTGTATAGTTGTTTGATCATTATTGGACACTCAAGTTCACTGACATTCACTTATAATATACATATTCCACAAAAACAAATCATCAGTAATGATCGATTCTAGGGCAAGAGCTTATCTTGTTTCTGTTTCTTTAAAATGCTAGTAATGATAATATTATCTTGTATTTTTTATTTCTTCTATGAGTACTTACAATGCACTTTTTTATATGCTCGTAGTATTATTGTTAATTTTTTTTTAACATTGCCTAGAATTTTATAAAACGAAATCTATTTCCTTAAATTTCTGGTTTAATTTTGAAATATAAATTTTATTAAATTGATGTAAACAGTTCTTTTTTTTAACAGTTTCTTTTTTTCATAATAACTGTTCATACCAATTACAAAAAAATAATAATAATTCAATTGCTTTGTCAATTTTTCATACCACGATCTAATTTAATCTTTGTAACAATATACTTTTATAACAAAATATTTTTATGCATAATTTATGGACTTTACACTTAAGTAAGTCTATTTAAAAGACTCCACGTGAAGTGACTTTTACAGAATTTGAAACAAAATATATTTAAAATGTAAGTTGATTTTTAACTTCTGACACAAGGGAAAGCTACGAACATGAGATAACAAATGTTAATGAAACTTTTTTTTTTTGTATTTTGATACACTAGGTTGAAAAACATTAGACGTGTCTGAGCACTCTTGCCAATGGGCCCTAGAAGCCGAGGAAAAAAATTAATTTAATTGACTTCATTTGTTTAAAAAATCTGCCTTTGTTCTGCATGTATTTCAACATCATTATATATATCATAAGATTTTTTTACCTAGGATAATAAAATAATATACAGGGTCATATTAAATGAGCTGTATGTTTAAATGAATACATCAAAAGTTAAAAAAAAACTTATCCATGCCCAGATCATAGATATGTGTTGAAATAGATAATTTGTGAGTGAGTAACATAGCAAAGTAGTTATTGTACTTACTCATTGTACCTGTATTGTAGTACAAATTTAGGATTTGTTTTCAGCTCCACAAAAAAAACCTGATTACGAATTTTCAGGAAAACAAAAAATGATTTTTTAAAATTAAATTTTACACTTTTCAAATGCCTTGGCCTTGTGTTAGCATGTCCAACTCATATTTGCAATGCTAGCAGTTTTGAGTTTGAATACCAGCTTAGCCCATGGATTTTTAATTGAGAAAAATTATGGAAATAGAATTGTAAAGTGGTTCGACCCCTCGTCCGCAACACCAAATATGTACTTGGAAATTAAGCCCTCCTCTAAACACCAATTACTTTACTTTTTTCCAAATTCTTCTGATTTTTTCATTTACAAACATGGTGATAACATTCAATTAATTAAGGTTTTAGTTGAGATAAAAAAAAGTCAGTGTCATGAGCGGGATTCGAACCCTCGACCTTCAGCTAGATACACCACTACTCTACCACTTGAGCTGTCGTGACTTCAATCCACTCAGACACTAATTTCCCATCTCAACCCCACCTTTCAAATTTTCCGTCCTTTTTGCCATTTTTCAAATGTCGTGTAATCTATTTGATTCTAAAAATCTAAAAAAAAAATCTACACTAAGAAATAAAATAAATTTGGCACATTGCAGAATTTTAAACTTCACATTGTAAACAAGAAAACATACTACTACACTACATTAATGATATTAATTGGTCAAGCGGATCACGAAAACTAGTGAATACATGGTGATAATTTTAAAACAACTTCACCAATCTACAGGTAAATTTTGAAGGCCATAGAACCATATAAACTTCTGTTAATTAATTAGAAACCAAAATATAAAACATTGATTTTAACTCTATCTGACTTATAATGCCAAAAATCTAACCCTTTATATATAGACTGAAAGAAGATAAATTCAGCTTTATTATAACGTTTAATGTGGATAAAATCCATAGGAAATATTGAGTTTTATGTGAAACACTGGGTATCAGCAAGAAAAAAATTACCCCACATCAGATTCAGTCCAAAAATTTCAATTTTTTATTCAACATAAAATCTCGTATTTAAGGGCTTTAAAGGGTGCTTAAAATGAGCCCAAATTGTTTTTTCAAGAAAATAATTTTTTAGCTTACTTTGAAGCATCTGACTGTTTTTATAACTTTTTATTCAGCTAATCTCATATAATATGATTTAGTACATTATTTTCTTATCTTATATAAATTAAGTTAAATTTACTAATATAATTATATTATAATAATCTTGGAACGCGTGCATGCATTACAAACGAAGAATGTTTTACTTTCAAAAAATAATATTAATTATTTAAATTATTTCTTTTATCGGTTCCTAGGGCCCATTGACAATTGGACATAATGCCTAATATTTTTTATCTAGTATCACCAAAAAAGTGTTAGGGATATCAGTGATCCCACGTTCTTAGACTTGACTTGATAGTAGTTTCAGTGTAGCATGGTATTTGTTAAGTTAGCATCAGATATTGAAATGTAGATTTATGCAGACTTATTATTAGATTAAATAATATTGTTATTAGTCCAATATAGAGTATTTTTCAATGTTCATGTTGATAAGGTTGTGCATAAGTATACTGAGACTACCTTTGCTAGAACACTTGTATCAGCATGTATTTCACAGCAAGACAATTTTTATTTTTTATTATTAATTCAGTTGTTGTTTCTTTTTTTTAAACTAATTTATAATATGTTTGAATTTCAGGGCTTAACAATGCCGCATCCAGGGTCAGCGGCCCTGACCCATCACGGGTCACTGCCCCATTTCCTGCCATCTCCGGCTTTGGCATCTCCTGTCGGCTCTTCTCCAACCTCTCAGCAACAGGCGCACGTCCCGAACAATGGTCCCTGCTCCACACTATTCGTAGCAAATCTCGGACAATTCGTCTCAGAACATGAACTCAAAGAAATTTTCAGCAGGTAATTAAACGCACCGAAGCGCTTGCCGACAGGTGCTAACCATTTTTGACAAATAGATTTAAAAAAATGTAAGCACTTGATAGGTTAAGTAGCCAAAGACAATTGGGGGGGGGATTGTATGATAGGGTAAAGATGAACCACTAATACACACAAGCACAAATTGAGCCTAAATTTAATTACACATGAAATTTAGGATGGATACAGAGGTGAAGCAGTGCAGATATCAAATACTCCACTAAAACACCAAAAACAAGCACAATTTTACATCAAAAATCATATTTATAAAAGATTTGGTTGCTTTATTTTGGTGATATTTGACACAAATGGAAAGTTCTTTCATGAACATTCCGTAAATGAATTTTTCTATAAGTCTCTTTCACATCCTCTATTGTTTTTCTCTAATCTAAATATAATTTTAATTTTATAATTATAATTTTTTGCATTTGTAATTCTAAATGCCTTACATAAATAAAGTATATTTGGTCAGGAACAACATAACATCATATAAGTTTTATCAGGTAACCAGAAAATTTCATGCGATTTTTCATTTGTTATTATTTTAATACCATTATTCAACATTTCTATCTTCATAGGAGGATTAGATGTTGATATATAATAGCAAGAGGATTATGCATCAGTTAATTTAAAAATAAAAAAGTGTCTTGAACAGTTCACTGTACTTTTTTTTTCTTTTACATGGCTTCAAAATCCATAATTCATACTTGCTTATTTATTGTATGAATTTACACTTGGTACTTAGACTGCCAGTACAGCTCCTAAAACTTGCACTGCGTTCAGTGATGAAGTAATAATTGAGCGCACTATGGTTCACAAAGTTTGTTTATGGGAGTGAGGTGATCGAAAATGAACCACGTCTGCTAGTCTACCTTCTGTCTTGAATGGCGACGAATTGAGGAAAATTATAAAACTTGATTAAGTCAAACATGTCAATAAAAAATAACCAGTGTTCAACATAAGTGATGAAACCATTCACTCCATTTTACATCGGCTTGAGATGTTAAAGCCTAAATATTTTCCTCATAAATTGTCCAATGGTAACGAGCTTCAGCGTTTAAACATTCATTCCTTTCATGACTCAAAGGGATGTTTTTGCTCAGATTGTTACATGCGATGAAAAATGAACTCTGTACATAACACCAGGAGGGCGGGTTGTCACCAAATGATCCTGCCCCTTTGCCACAAAATATATCTGACCTATAGCTCAACGCAGTATGCAAAATCTTCAACTCTCTAGCATACGAACTCCATAATTCCAATGACCACTTTTGTGAGTTCCTATGAAAAATATTCTGACAAATCCAATAGGCTTATGTCAGGAAACTTTTTCATGGATTAAAAATAAATTTCATTAGTAAATTATGTAAGACAAATAAATTTCATATGCTTATAAATTCATATGCTAGAGCAATATAAAATTACTAACTCATATAATTATTAAAAAAATTTACCACACTTTATGCCCTAAAGATGACCCAAATAAAGGTCAAACATCAGTAAAAAAATGAAAAAGGTGTTTTTCTAAACTACCTTATTCTTGACCGCTCCACATGAATCCAACAAATTATTTAACAACCACTAAAAAACTCATGTAATTACAAAGTTGTAATGAGCACAGAAGGCTTTGAGGTTCATCGGGTTTTGGTCAATTTTGTTAAACAAACTAGCTGTTAATTTGGATTTGGATTTATATAGGCTCAAATGTGCACATGTATGTGCGTACATGTCCCAAGTTAAGCGTATTCACTTCTTTTAGTCCACTGGCAATTCCAGCTTTTGAACTGCCAGCCAGCATACTTGGGAATCATCAACCTCAGGTGTTGGCCGTTTGGGGTCAGATGGCCGGGGGAGGGGGGGTGCTGTCAACAGCTAGGTCAATCCCAATGCTTGCAGTTCCAACTGACTGTACTCATGTTCATTCTTAAATACGTTCACCATATTTACATACTATTCATTAAATTAGGGTTGTGGAATACTCAATATGTCACAACTGACCCTCTAATGTCACTCATTCACGCTAATAAATACATTCACTCTACCCTCTCTATACCTGGACTTTGCTCCAAAAGTATCTGGGTCATCCTCACATATCCCACTCTTAACCAGGTGAAGACGACTCTTCTACAAGTCAGATCCTCTGTGGGCTTACTGAGGGCTAACTCTATTGTTCACCAGGTCCCAGCAAATCAATATGCCGTGAGAGGTATTCAACCTCTGGTGAGGCGCTACCGAAACCTGGTGCCCAGCCACCCTCAAGATACTTTTTATTTTGTCAATGTCCTTAACATTTCCCAACCCAAGGATTATTTTCCGTTCTCGTTTTTGTAACGGTGCTTGCATATTTTTGACATCTCACTACACAGAAGGTAGGGGCAGGTATCTAGGGTTCAAAACTACACCATTGACCCGGCATACAGTTTATTACGTGCAATATAAACAACTTCAGAGTAACCACTCAAAGGTTAACTGATCATTTATTTAATTGTTTTAAATTAAATGCAGATTTAGAATAATTTTCATACTGTCATATATTATAAATTTGTAAAAATAAATAAATAAACAAATTGAAAATGGCATTGGATTAGAGAAAAACTGTTGGGTGAAGACTTAATAAACCCCTAGTTCACTATATTGCAGCCTTAATTTTCAGAAAAACTAATTATAATTAATACAGCAAATAGTCACATGCACTACTGACACAGGAATAGTTGTTTTTTTTTACAAAATCACACCAATACCAATAAAGCACAAGTGATTTACTGAAATGTAATTTGTTATATATCCCAGTTTAAAGAATAGTAATTAATCATGTCGGAGTTGGACTTAAAAATTGTAATACAGTAATAATAACGTGGAGGTATGGTTTGTGTAGAAGCCTCCCCGGGCGAAGGCAGACCACACCCTGTTGAGACGGTGCTTTTAGTTGATATGTAAGTAGCCCTTTACCAAATTCCATCCTACGCCAATAATGAGCATCACATTACATAACAAGTTTTCTGGGTTTTGAGTAACATCTAACCTATTCATTAAAACAAATAAGGTGTGGGTGGATTTTGGGTTTACGGCACGGTTTTGGTGTTGGTAGCCCTGATTTGAAAATAGCACAAATATAAGGAAAATATTTGACATCAATGACACATCAACCCCCTAATGAGTGTATCAACTTACAAAGCACCCAATTCGTAGTCAATGTTTTTCTCTATTCACAAGACACAGTTGTTTTTCTTTTGTAAAATGAATTCACACTGTAATACAATGATAGCACATCCTTCACTGACATGTCTCCCTAATTGAAAAATACATTTATCTGCAGTTAAATGTTAACACTGGATATTTCATAACTTACACTACACTACAGACTTGATGTTGTCTTATTATTTATAGGCTTAGAGATTGATCCTAATTTATTTAAGAATGTTGGGATTATTAACATTACCTGCAATAGTACAGTAGAATTGAAAAACCAGAATATTTACTTTAGAGTGGTAAATTGTTAAAAATGGATAATTTGCTGTCTCATATAATTGTGCTAAATTAGTTTAAGTGAATAAATAACGTGTCCTCACAGGCTTTATGGAAATTTTTCAGCCTTGTTCTCAATAAAATCTTGCTTATGTCATCAGTAAAAGGCTGCAGGCAATGTGTACAATATGAACATAAAGACAATAATTCACTCTCCATCAAAAATATCCCAACACTGTGAGGGTTATTTTATGAGAACATTTAGGTTTTCATAAATCAAAAATGCCCACATTGTCTCTTATAGTTGATTCCACCCTTGTTGGTATACTCACAAAAAAATTTATAGAAAATCCTTGGGTGTTGTCCAACTTTTCCAAAACCTTGGATTTTGGGGAATTTTTAAGGGTTGTAGGAGTTGTTCCCATGATAGAACCTTTCTTGTGAGGTTGGCCAAATGTATTTTATTTATTTATTTATTTTTTTATGAGGGTTCGCAACAGCAGAGGTTATAATCAGTCCTTGGGGTGCCAGTGTTTTTGAAAAAAAGCCCATTTGTAAATATGTCGGGTTCGAATGCAGGGCCTTTACCTTACAGTAATGAGCGTCGTGTCAATGCCTAAACTGTTGCGGCCATCAAAGACCCCCATTGGCCAAATGTATTTGATTGGGTTAAGATCTGGACTACTCCACTTAGAAACATTGCCTTGTGTCCATGCATTCCACACATAAGCAATGATTAAGCGCTTCAGAAAGGCATGAAAGGTTCTACAACCTTGTAGGATATCTCAACATATCTTAAGTTATTTTATTCCTTGGATTGGTACCAACTTAGTATTTCACTCTCATCTAGTTGATCCCGCAACCACAGGTTGGGGGCTTCGATTCCCACCGTTGCCTCAAAGGGACCAGTGCCACAATGAAAATTGATGTGGCACTCATCAATGTAAGGTCTCGGGTGGGATCGGATCTCAGTGACCTTGAATTTGATCCTGATCCACTTCGGAAATGAGTTTCTTTGATGGAAAAACATGGGTGTACCTTGGGTTCAAATCATGCATGTGTTGCAAGCCCCCAAAAATGGAGCCAGGATGGAATGCAATGAGTCTATAGAGCTGCAGGGCTCAGGGGGAATTCTTCAGATCCTGGTATTAAAACAATAATTAAAAAAAGTTGCCATTTCCAACTCACTGGCTGTACTGTTCACCTAACCATTAGGCTTAGTACACACTGGGATTCTTTGAGTCTCCGGAGAGTCTCGGCTGCGTCTAGCCTGAGTCCGAGCTGCCCCGACTCATTGTTGCGATGAATCTGGTGTGTTGCAGGCTAGCATTTTCGGACTCTTTTTGAATCCCATCCGATGTGGGATTTTTTGACTCAGTGTTGCGCAACATTTGCCAGTGCGGACGTGAATCAGAATAAGCACTCTTGCTTTATTTGTTTAGTTGCCATTCTAGTGAGTGTTTTCTTGAAGATTTTGGTACTGTCTTGTATAAAGGTATGTTGTGTACTACCGAGTTGATTTTACAGTTTATTGAAGACATGCATTCCCATCGGTGTTTATGGGATGTATCATTCACGGAATACAGAAATTGTAAATTGAAAAGCCAAACATTGAACGGTTTAACCCAAAAATTCAGTGTTTCCGTCGCCGAAATTGAAAAAATGCACTTTAAAAGGACAGTTTTTTAATGCACTTCTAATTGAATTCACTACATACAGTGAAAAAAAAAAGAGCAAGGGAAATTCCTGAGAGCTAGTTTCTCCTTCATTTTCGCAGGCACTGATGGATGAATGTGAACTGAATCTCGGCCTGGACTCGGTTCTTTGTCGCGGAGCAGAGTCGGGGCTGCATTGCAACTATGAATCTATGCAGCCCCGACTCTGGCCCACAATATGAATCGATTCAAAGAATCTCATTACGTACTAGGCTTTAGACTCTTTCATAACCATGTGGACTGTTAAGGACCACTCTCGTTTCATTAGTGAATAGAACTTTTTCCCATTTCACTATAGTTCGCTCTTGGTGTTCCCTTGTAAATATTAGCAGCACTACACAGTGTTTTGTGGTGATAAGGAAGCCTTTCTCCCTTCTTGATCTGTTTGACTCTCTCAGTCTTCTAACAGTTGACTATGAGATTGACCAAGTTTTTAATGCCAGAAGCTGTTGAATTGGAATGCTTGCATTTTAATAAAACAGCCAGGGACACTGTGAATTTGTTCACCTCAAGTGGTAATGGTCCTTAAGGTTAAGGTTAAAATGAGTAGGACTCTGTACGACCTTGCACACTGTGACCATTATTGGCCTATTCTCCATCACTGTCTAAAGCTTGTTGTTAAGACTTGTTATCAGATACCAAAGCTTTTTTAATGGCTCCCATGCTGCTAGGCCTTTGTACCAGCAGAGGAGATGTTCCGCTATTTCTTTGTGGTAACATCTGCACAAGCTTGTTTCATCTGCTGCTTCAAGTCTATATAGATACACATACAAAGTGTGTTGTCAACTGTCTTACTATCATTCTGGTTTTAACACATCCCAGATTTAGTAGTGGTGTCGTTTGTTTCTACGATGGCCCTTTGATGGACCCATGGTCTGAAAGATCTACACTTTTGATATTTTAGTTGGGTTTGCATCGAATTTTCTGTTGCCAATTGATAAATTGGCTTCCTGTCCTGCCTTGTGTGCCCTGATATCCAAGCAAGGGGGATTTTGTTGTATCCGCCTGACATGGCTTTGATGCATCCCCAAATGGTTTTGGACTTTACTATCAGTGAGTTAGTTGCCTTTTGTTCTTTTTTCACTATGTTCAATAGTCAGTCTCTGCCGAAAAGATAGTGGTATAATGCCCGAAGCTTATATGGCTTCTAGCCATTTGTTTATTCCCATAGATACCACTTCTGACCCATACTGTATACCAGATTTGCTCAGCATTAAGTGAGATCCCTTTATCTCAATCTGCTTTTTCGGGTATTTTAATTTGAATTTTATCAAATCTGTATTTTAGGATTATGGCATCAACCCTAGATCCTTATCCATTTGAAGTTCTTCTTGAAGCTTCAATTGATCCTATTTCCAAATGCTATTGGAACTTATCCCTTAATTAGCCTATGAACTCTAGCTCTAGTCTTTTCCTGGATGAAGATGAGGGTGGTAGGTTCAGGAGGGCTTCCTTCCAGGAGAGTAGCGGGAATGGCATGCTAGTTTCTGAGAAGTAATGAGGATCCTAACTGCCCCAACCTGTAATGTATCAATTAATGGTCCTTGAAAGTGAATAATGAATGCCAAGTTGATTTGCGCTGTAGCATAATGATTTTAATTAAAGGCGATTCATTATAACATAAACAAAATTAACAGAGTAAAAAACAGAAATTGCTACCTGAGTCTGACAAATGGTAAAAACTTACTGAAAGGTACCAAGAAAAACATTGATCCTTCCATTGTTGGTAAATTGTGACTACTGATGACATTATTAAACCCCAGAATTCTCTCCTGTTAAAAATAATCATATGAAAAATATTTTTTTTTTTAAATTATGATTTAAGGTCAAAAACTAGAAACTATCGATATTTAGGTGTTGTAATATTTTTGATGGGGAGTGAATAGACAGACCCTTGATAATTGTGCGCCAGCAGAAACTCAGAGAAAACTGCACAAAATTAGATTGTTGTTATTTTTCATGCTCTACAAATCAACAAATTTATTCTACAGATATTTATTCTTAACAAGTTACTTAACGAAAATATGTTTTGAAATATAAACATTGTTTCCAATGGGAGCATTCAATTATTGTTCAATACTTAATGATTTGTTTTGGTTTTGACAGTTAAAAAATGTTAATGATTCGAACAAAAAAAAATGTCTTACTATAACAATTTATTTTATAAATACAACTAATTTTTATTATGTTTTATTATAATAAAAATAATTGTATTAAACTTTTTGCATTGGTATTCTACTAAGAGTTTACAGTGTAATATTAATATGGTTGGAGTAGTTTTTATTAACAATTTAATAATTTAAAAAAAGAATTAATTTTAATTTAATTTGAAGAAAAACTGTAGATTAGAAGTGTGTTTATGAATGCGATTGTGTGTCAAAACTTAATAATTAATTAATGGGTTGGTGAAAATTTGGATCACCCAATGTGATTTCACTGCCAATTGTTTCACTGTTACCTGAAATTTTTGTATCACGTATCATTATCTTTTATTTTTTAAGTTTTTTTGTTTGTTTTGTTTTGGCATTGAAGTGTACATAGGTGATTGCACTGTAGTCTCTTAATAGGCATGCTGCTTCTCACTCTCACTGCCACTATCCCAGTTTATATTTTTTCTTTTATGCTCGCACCTTTATTTTAGCCCTTTTGCCACTCACAATCAGCACAAAGTCCTATCACTGAAATACTTAATACACACCTTTTGTTTTATGGTTTATGAGAAAACTCACTTTATTTACACAAAACGGCCATTTATCTGTCAATGAAACTTCAATGACTTCAAGTTTAGTTTATTTCTGTTTATTTTCTTGATAATTCTGTTCTTACCATGGTAAAGCATCAAAGCTCTTGACATCAAGATTTTTTTAAGTGTAAAACTTTATTTATTTATTTTTTGTGACAAGAGCAAAATAATAAAAATGATGGCTACACTTTTTTTCACGCACCTTTGTGCACATGTAACTCCCACTTTTGCACCCACTCAAGTAGACGTTGTGAGGGGCCTAGGGGTTAGGGGCGAGGGTAAGGCGAGCAGAACAATTTTGGTTTTTCTATTTTTATTTGGAGGTGTTGTGAGGGGCTGCGTGTGAATGTTTGGTTGGTTGTGTGTGTGCGTAGCTTGCCCGGTTTTGGCCGTCTGCGCCTACACACAAAAGGAGGGAAGCCGGTCGCATTTGTCGAGTTCAAAGATGTCAAGTGTGCTGCAAGAGCCATGACTGCTCTTCAGGGATCCTTTCTTCTATCATCGGACCGCGGAGCAATAAGAATTGAGTACGCCAAGACTAAAATGTCGTCTGAGGTACTGGATATAAATAATCAAAGAAGCAAAATGTCACTTTATCGAGGATTAAAATTTTTAAAAAATTTTGACCAAAAAGTGATCTCTGGGTAAAAAAGTATTGAATTATTTAAACATAAAATTAAAAAAATTAATTTTGTTCTTTTCTCTCATTTGTGTTCACAGAGTTTGCAAACATTTTGTTTATTCTGATGATACAAACTTTAGCAGTGACTATTTCATGGGTGTTTTAAGTTTAGGGAAGTCAGCATTGTAATTTTCATGATGGCACTACAAAAGCACTGCACACTCACCAGCACAAAATAATAGTTTTGAATGACTGTAGACCGTTGAAAAATCACTTTTAAAATTGCTAACATTCATTAATGCAACACTTCATTAAAATATCTCATCCTGCAACACTTGGACATATTTTTCTCACAAAATTGGGGAAGTTTGTTGGTTTTGATGTTAATTCTGTTTTATGTAATTAATCTTTGCAATTACTTAAAAAAAAAAAAAAATAGATATATATTTTGTGACGCACAGTTAGCAAAAGTTTCAAGGGTATTTCAAAAATAGTCAAGGTTGGCTAGTTTCATTTCACTTTTAAAATATATTGTTTTTAAAATAAATAAATCTTGTTTAATCACCCTATTAAAAATTATATATCTTGCAAACTATTTTTGAGATACATATTTAAAAAGCTGACAAAATTACAATAAGATTTTGTTATGAACAGCTATCACCATGGTCATTTTTTTTCAATCACTGTTAGCAATATTCTGTGAGCACTTTTTAAATGTTTACTTGCAATCAATGTTGATTTTGATTTTTAGTCATGTTTAATGAAATTTTACAGTAATAAATAAGGTTGTTGACTGATCCATTAGGATTTGAGCCGCACCTAATGTATCATTTAACACCGTTATAATAGAAAAGTATGTACTGCAGTCTTTGTAATTTTTAACATAATGAAAATCAGGTGGTGTTTTTAATTTGCATGACATATTTCTTGAGCATACTGCATGCGTTTTATTTATTTGGTTGATTCGCCTACCCTTTTGATGATATAACCAAATGATTGCACATTTGTATGTTTCTTAAGAGAAATGCAAATAAAAAAATACAGTTTGGAAAAGTCATGCAAATGAGAATGGTGTAGATTAAATAAAAATACAAGGCTTTTGATCATCAGGAACCTAGATTTCTATTTTTTTACTTTCCTCACTATGTTGGAAATCCCATGGCCGTTGGCACTTTAGGCCTCTTAGAAGATCATTGTAGTGTAGAATTAAAGGTGTTGGGATGTGGGTTCAGGATTGCAACTTCTTGCAGTTTCAAGGAAAAATAAGATTTTAAATAGTTGGATAGTATGGTTTGATAGGAAGTAGAGAGCTTGAGCAATGGTTCGAAGGATTTGGGACAGTTTGAACACGTTTCTTTTGAAGTCGATTCCATACATCCATATGGGTTGTGATGTGTAACTGGCGGTTGTTTAGTAGTTAGATTCAATTATGTTAAGAAATATTTTGATTAGTTCATATTGTCTGTTCAGTTCTATCATTTTAAATCAAGTGTGGGTGTCCCAAACAAATCATTTGTCGATGTAAAGTCCCAAGGATTTTGGACTGGAATGACTAGATTCTTTGGTGATTGGAATGTTTGGTTGAACCCCAGTGTTCTTTCGAGTCAAATGTAGAGGTTCAAAATAAGTCTTTTGGCAATGCAAAGTCCCAATTAGTGTACAGCAATGTTTGCTGAAAGAGGGACAGAGCTGTAATAGATATGGCAAAGGGTTAAGGTTTTTTGTTTGAATTTGTTTTCTTTCAATCTGATTCTCAATTTCTTGAAAGATTTTTCCAAACAGGGGAGATGGTACTAGGTTTCTTGGTATACTGAATAAATGAGGAGCAATGTCTCGGGAATGATAAGAATGTCAGTATATACTGAATAGAGAATGGGACCAATGATGCTGCCTTGCAGATATGCTTTAGCGTAATGAACAAGATTTGTTCCTTTAGCCTTAAACTTTTGTCTATTGTGCCGAATAAATGGGAGACAAGGTTGTTCCAAAGCTAAAGTTGAAAGTACTGGGGAAAAAAACCACACACCATTCTTATTTGCATAACACCCTTACTAGTATTTTCTTTAACTTCTTTTTAAATACTTATTTTTAATATATATATATATAATTTTTTTTTTGTTTACTGTTAGAGGGAAAAAAAACTTGCTCTCTAATATTTAAAATCTAAATATGTTTTAATTTTTCTAGGGATCCAGCAGGCTCGAAGAAAATGGACAGTGGTAATTACAATTATATGCCATCAGCGCAACACATAACCAACACCTGACATTGGGACGTCGGCCTCATTGAGAGCGTACGGGGCTAACAACTCACCCGGTTTAGGGAGCACAACCATGGAGTACCACTCGCTCACAAACAACATTAATTTTACTATTACAATTTGATTTGGCTGCTTTTTTTCTTTTCTAAGAAAAAATGTTTTATCCATCTGAAATTATTTTGTTTTATGTATTTTTTTAAACACATTTATGAATTTTAAATTTGGTGGTCATCTCAGCTTATAAAACCCAATTATTTACATTCTATATGTCTGTTGGACCAAGATAGACAATAAGGCTTGGAATTTTTGAGATACAATTTTTGAATAGAGTAATAATTATTTTGATTTTCAAGTAGTTTTTTTCCTTTAATTATAATATGTTTTTAATTTCGTTTAAGACTAATCCATGTTTGTGTTCTTGCCCTTAAATGACAAAAAATTGAAACAAAACCAAAGGTGCCCTAAAGATTGCTATAAGTGTGTTGGTATGTATTAAGGCTATAAAACATAAATGTAGTAAAAGTTGTTTTTTCAGATTAAAAATAATATATGATGAGGCCTGTACTATTTATAATTGGATTTAATAGTTGTGTCATTTTTATGTACTCTAGCTCTATTCAATAAGGCAATATTTCAGATTAATAACGATGTAAACATGTAGTTATAGGTGGAGTAGATGTAATTTGTATTAGTGGAAGTATAGTCAGGAATTTTCTATACTTTACTCATTCCCTCTTTTTCTCCCTTGGGAGGGTGGTGGTTATATTTTCCCCTTTTTTCTCTTTTCTCTTTATTTTCATATTTTATAATACATAAATGAGATAGCAGTTTGAGAGTTTTAACAATGATCTACGATTGTTTTATTATCTCTCCCACTTGTAGATTAACTCATTTTTGTTGTGTTTAAAAAGGAAAGAAAATTTTTTGATTATAAAACAAAATTAAACCAGAAGCATTTTTAACAGCAATAACTATTTAAGAGTTTTAAGAATAAATTATAAATATCAAAATTTAATGCCCAAACATATCATTTCATATTTAAACGTATAAGGAAAGTATATATATTACACATATGTATGTATATGTTATATGTATGTATACTATATGCATATACATAATAAGCATATACTGGAGAATATTTTGTCGAAAGGATTTGTTAGAAAGTCATGAAATTTATATATTCAAATAGTCTAACTTCTTAATTATATTGATAGGATTCTCTAAAAGCTGGACACATTTTTTTTTAATAGGCTTTATTTTATTTTATTCTTCTCTATTTTAAATTATTTTTTATTGTTCTTCTATTAACTTTTATGCTAGGAGACTGAGATTTCTTTCAATTTCATTTTTATGTAATTTTGTTTTCGATGAATTTCATTTGCAGGCTACCTTGAGGTAACAATGCAGCAAGACCAAAGTATCATTTTAAACATCTTTCTAGATGGTGTATATAATTTTATTTGATTAGGTTTATACATTTTTTATTATTATAATATATTTAATGTAAAAAGCAAACTTAACTTTGGTTATAAAATATTTATTTTAATTGTAATCCATATTTATTTTTAATAGTACTACTACTAATAATAATAGAAAAAAATTATTATCTACCATAAATCAACCAAAAATGTAGTAATTACGGATTACCTGCTTTATAAAAGCATACTATTTATAATGTTTAGTGTTTGTTACAATTTGTTGAGCAATTGTTTGTAATAGTTATGTTTTAGGAAGATAGATATTTTGATAATCATTCCTTTTAGAAGAAAAAAAATGTGATCATACATTTTTACTTTTGTAGTACGTTCGATTAAGTTTATAAATGAAATTCATCACAAATCAACGGATCCATCACAGAAATCTGAGCTCCAAAAAAAAAAAAAAAATACAAATAAACATTTGTTTTTAATCCATACAACGGTCATTCTAAAGAAATAATTTGTTTAATTTTAATTTATTACTTTAAAAAAAAATTGCCTTGTAAATTTTATTTTAATGAGATCGGTAATTGCAAAAACAATAGCCTTTTTTAAAAAAAAGTTTGTATTATTTTTATAACTCTCTTTGTATGAACAGTAAACTATTTTCTTAGCAAAAATGTTGTTTTGTCGGCTTTACTCATAAGGGAATTGCATACATTTAAAAATATTGTATGTCAAATGAAATTAACAATACAGTTAATGAATGAAATGTTGAAAAATAAAAATTATAGGAATTTACAAAAGATTTTGGAGTGAAAAAATGTTTAAGAATTGTTAGTTTACAAGCAAGAAAATGGTGTCAATGTTATTGGCAAAATACCAAAGAATATGTGCAAAAAAAAAAAAGCATTTTTATGCTTGATTTACAAGCCCAAAATAGTAATTTTACCTCCCAAAGAGCCTTAGTTAACTTGTTGTAATCTATTTAAATCTAAGATTATGATGTTAACCAAATATTATATTTATGGTAGTATTTAGAATTGTAGTTAAATAGTTTTAACTTTGCTTTGTGTGTGTCTGGTTGATGTGATATCATGAAGATATTAAAAAAAAATGTTTTAGGTATTTTAACTGTTAACAATATTTGGTGAGTTAGGAAATTGTTGGTGAAGTTATTTATTATTATGGCTGTTCAAAACAAGCTTGACTTTGCATTGTCTTTAGATAACTTTGTAAACTTTGCTTTAGCCATGTTTTGTACACGGAATCGTTATCTGTCTGTGTGCCTTGTTTTATTGGATTCGGCGAAATTATCATTTTGAAAAGAATTACAAAAAAAATCGCACTAGATTTAAAATGCACTATTATGAATGTCGGTTAAAAAAAAAAATGTGACAATCAATATTAGAGACAAGTTATTTAATTTTGCTCGAATCCTATAAGACATGCGAACTGCATCTAGTGGTTCCGTGGAATATATCCGTCCATTATAAATGCATGTTTTCAAAGAGAAGGACATGCTAAATTTTAAGATAAAAGAACAATTGGAAAGAAAAAATGAAAAAAAAATCAGCTCAAATGCTACAGGGGCATTATCCTTGCTGAGGGTAGTGCACATCAAACAAACGTACATATCAGATTTAGGTTAGGATCTATAAATGTTTCTATTTAGCTAATGATTACTATGTTGTAAAAATAGATTGATGGATAAAATCATATTAGGTCCTCACTCATGTCTTAAATTTTTACCTAAATAGAAATTTAACATTGGCTTGATCTGCATGTGATTATAATAAAATTATTATTAAAAAAAAATCAGAGAAAAAAAGCAAAATTTAATGAAAAAAGACCAATTTATATTCATATCTTGCAAAACAATACAAAATTGGGCATGCTGCTTGCTGAATTTCAAATAATTACGCCGAAAGTAAGCTTCTATTCCCTCAATTTGTCCTAAATGAACATATCAAAAAGAGAAAATGTTAAAATATTTTTCTATATACTGTATTACTATAGTAAAAGTTTTACTGTGATCATAAACAATTTAATTTAATCGGAATTTAGAAGCACTACTATCGAAATAACATATTAAGGCATTGAACTGTCCATTATGACATGGAGTGAGGGCCTATAAATAGTTTATATTTAATGTTGTAAATAAGATGTCATCTTAGAAAAAATAAATTATTATACCTTCTGGTAAGCAGGTACAGATTTAAATTCTTAAATTTATTTTAAAAGAATTTGTGTTGTGTTATTTTTCCAGTTTCAAAAGAAATGAAATATTGTTTTCTTTGTCAAACGTATTGCGTATTTATTTCAATTACAATTTTGTAGTTCCAAGATGAGAATAAAAAACCATCCTTGTTGGGTGTTTCAAGGATAAAAATCTGCGGCCTTTTGACGTGCAGTTTATATGTGATGATTGGTAGACATTGTCTCAAGCCTTTTATGAGAATTGTAGCATAAAACTGGCCGCGGAGAGTAAAAACACCTTAATCGAAACATATCATGACTTGTGCCCCCATATCAAGTGTATCATTCTTAAATTTCTAGCAAGTTATAATAAATATATAATACATAAATAAATATATATATGATGATTGTAATAAGTCATTAGCTTTATCATTTTAGACATTTGATAATTATAGGAAATTGTACAGTCCGTGTGGCACAAAAAAAATTATATATCTTTAAAAAAAGTTTGGTAGATATTAATATTTCAATAATGTTAAGTATATACAACAATCTTGGGCAGTGTGTTGCTTTGCTGTTTGGCATTAAACAAAGGAAACATCCATTTCCTTTCATTAAACTACAACTACATCTTGGTAATAATTAAAATATAAAGGAAATGTACATGTGTTTGAAATAAACATTTTCAAAAATAATTTTGCCCTTTTTTTTACATCACCTTTTTTCCTCCATACAGAGTCATAAGAATTTGGCCCTCCAACACTTAAACTTTTATCTATTGTACCGATTTCTGCTAATGGACTTCCTGATAGAAATCAGGTACATTTATGAAGTAAAGAATACTTTTCAGGGGTATGGTATCAAGGTTTGCGCAGTTAAAGAATGATTTTTCCCAACTACAATCGTTTTTTCCTTATTGCAGGACAGTTGCATAGGATATGTTCTGTTGTTTCAGTCTACTTAACACAATCAGTATTGGTCATCTGATGACAGAACCAGTTTTTAAAAGCGATATTTAACTGAGCATGTCATGTATGCCGGTTAGAGTTTTATTTCATTTCTGTTATGTAGATCCTTTCTCCAAGAGGGTTATTTTTGCAAGCAATCTTTTTGCTTTCCTCAAGCCTGGAGATTCCACTTCTCTTTTAATGCTGCTAAGTTTATCTACAATTTCAATTTGTCTCCTATTTTAACAAATATAAATAGCTGCCGCTTTACCTGTAATTTATGATCTAGGGACCACTAAAGTGTTAAGCTGTTGGAAGACTGGTTTTTTAGGGATAAGGTAATCTCATATGCATAAAGACCCTTTTGAGCTGCATGATTCTGAACAATGATTATTGTTGCACCTTTGAGATTTTTTTTGTTTATTTTGTGTTCAAAGATGGTTGTGATGATGCTCACACTAAAACCCCTTATGCCCTGTTTCCCATCTGTGAGCTAATGTTAGAACCTAAGATCGTTAGAAACCTTTGTTTCTTTTACCTCATCTTTACCTTGATTTGGATTTCGACAATTAAACACTCATCATCAGGCTCAAGGAGTTAAGTGTACTGCAATGTTTCAATAAGAAGATGGTTTTTAATGCCAGTCAATTTTGAATGTTTAGGGGCGTAAGTGGCTGCAATGATTTAGGTGTTGACACAGCAATCATCACCGTAAGGTAAGGGTCCCGGGTTCAAATTCAGGGACACTGGACAACTTACAAATGGGTTTTTCAACATCAAAACCGCAAGGGTTCATGTTGTTGTTGCAAACTCACTTTTGGCAGAACCCACCACCAAATCCTCAAAGAATTCCACTCTGTATGAAACAATAATGCATCATCAATAAAAAAAATAACTTCTTAGCAGACATCAAAAATTACAGATAAAATGTAATATCACATCACTCTCAATTCTTATTTAATCCACCCAGAATTATTTATTTAGCGTACTTGTTCCATGTACGCTTATCCTTCTTGCCAAATAAACTTTAACATGTTACAAGTGATCCAAAACAAGTTTTTATGGTTTGTCACCTGGACAGGATTACTAATCTCCACAAGATGACTAAAATGAAGACCGTTGAGTGAAATCAAGAATGCTACGCTTCTTCAACAGATGTGCTGCTAGCAGGAATGCCCTATGTAGAGTAATAGGTGCATGTGACCTTAATAAGCGCTGGAGGGGGCGTTGGTGGCCACAACAGTTTAGGTGTTGACAAGGCGCTCATCACTATAAGGTGAAAGTCCTGGGTTCGAATCCAGCGGCCCTGCATTCGAACCCGACATACTTACAATTTTTTTTCAAAAACCAGCACCCTGAGGGTTGATATAACCTCTGCTGTTGCGAACCCTCTTAAAGAAAAAATAAAACAAAAAGCACTGGCATGTAAAGAACATTCTGCTTCTAGACGGAGGTGTGATTTTTATGACATTTGTGATACTCCATTAAGCGCTGTGATATTTCTATAATTTCTGGTCTGTAAATGTTCATAATCTTACTTGGGCCCGCATAATCTATTTTGTGAATTCTCTTCGTTAAATGAGTGTTGTTGTTTGTTTTTAACTTTTTCCTATTTCTCAAAAACCTCGCTGCAACTATTTACTACAAGTTAAACAATCTAGACTTCTAGTATAGGTAATGTAGCCCTGCCACTGTCAGTCAAATTTGTAATTATGTACTAAATTAAAAAAAAATCCATCTCAATGAGGCCTGGGTGTGCTGATGATGCTGAATAAGGTCAGTGGCTTAAAAAAAATTACACTGTTGTTTACACAAAGGAGCTTAATTTTAAATAATTTCTTATCTGAATGTAGATATGATTTTTTTAAATTTAAATGATAGAGATATATTCCTGTAATGCAGGAGGGCTTAACAACCAATTCCTCATTTTTTTTAGTTAGAACTTACTCACAGTTTGTTGTTTTCAACAGCCAGATTTCAAGCTTAAAGCTCATCATCAGGTAGAAGCATTTCCAACCACGTCTCTTGAGTTGACACAAAAGGTTATGTGAACCTTCCAACCAATGAGAAACAGGTTATGTGAACCTTCCAACCAATGAGAAACAGGTTTTAATGCCAGTTAATTTTGTACATGTGAAAACGTGAATTACAACACAACTAAATATTTAGAAAAAAATTAGTTGTGGGTAAATATTTAGTTGTGTTATAATTCACGTTCAAAATTGAACGACATTAAAAACCAGCTTCCCATTGGAATAACGCGTTGGCGGTGGATCGGCAGTGGGTCCACTCTTTCATTGTTCATTCATTTCTGGTGATGAGCTCTAACCTTGAAATTTGGATCCTTCAAAACAACAAACTGTAAGTAAGATCCAACTTTTTAAAAATATTAAGCAACATGCACACCCTATCTTTATCCTTACTATTTAAATTCCTCAATCAATGTTGCAGATACAGGTTTTTTTTTTGTTTTTTTTTTTTTAAATCATTCCATTCATTTTTTCCAATGAGTTGAATTGCACCTAAGCAGAAGTACTGAAAAACAAATAATGTTATCATCTCAAACTATTAATTATCACAATTTCCCTTTCCATTATTTACTTATTTTATTTTATTATTATCTTTTTATTTTTTTAATTACAGTCCAAACAGGTCATGTACTCAAGCATACATAGAGACAGTCAAGCAACACAACAAATCAATCATTACAATATAAATATTAAGAAAGGATATAATAGCAAATAAAAAAGCAATAAAAAGTAAAGAAGGGTCAACACTTTTAACAAACAAACATTATTATGTTTCATAATTAAAAAATATATATTCTCTATAAATTGTATGCCTGCAAAAATTGGCATATTTATTTCAACTATTTATTATATTTATGGAATCTTATGTATAAGTCGTCTTTACTTGTGTAAACGAATGAACTGCGATCATCTGGAATGATGCGCTTTGTGGAATGCCTCGAAGAGAGTGTGAGCTTGAAGTTTAGTAATAATGCTACTACTGCCATTTTAATTTCAGTCAATGCAAATTTAAAACCTGTAAAGCAAATAAGAAATAAGTTAATTCATAAAAAAAATTATATGTACAACACACATTCTTACATACCGACACAAATTCTTGGACCTTCTCCAAAAGGCAAATACGAATAGTTATTCTGTGACGCTCGGTTGACTTTTGAAAATCTCTCTGGTTTGAACTGGTATGGGCAAGGGTAAATGTCAGGGTCGTTATGAATTGCAAAAACCGGAATAAATACTTTTGTACCCTTCTCGATTTTGACACCATTCATCGTATAATCCTCAAGACAGATTCTTGACAATAAAGGGATTGGTGGGTGTGCCCTCAATGATTCTGAAAGGGAAATTTAACATATAATCAATTTTATTTTAAAATTTACACCTTACCTGTAATGACCATGTTGAGATATTCAAGGGACCAGAGTTTTTCAAAATTAAATTCTTCCAATGACTCCCCAGCTGACATTATTTCATCCCTTAGTTGTTTCTGTATGTCTTCGTGTGCCGCTATTTCAAAAAGTATGAATGACAGAGCAATCGAGGCAGTCTCAGTACCGTCAAGGTAGAATGTCATCAACTGGGCTGCGATTTCGATTGGCTTCAATACTAAAAGGCCAATATTCAAATTACATTTATTTGGGAATTAAATTATTCCAAACATAAATTTATTTAAAATACAAAGTCATATTTAAAAGTATTGCTATTTCGAAATAAAATAAATGCCAAAAGGTACCTGGGCCACATCAAAGGCGGAAAAGTGTCAGTTCATTTCTGACAACCATTCCACAGTTTTTACTACCCACCCCAATCCAAATGTCACTTTGCACTCAGATAAGATTGCTAATTTTCTTTACTCTCATCACCTTCTATCAATCACTAAGCCCATCCATGATGGTGCCAAAAACGACTGGCATTGGCTCATCGCAAGTGGATTATTTCCACAAAAAATTGTTGGATATGGCTGGGATGTGCTACCCCCATCATATTAACTGATAATTAATAATAAAAATGTCAAAACACAATTAAAATGAAAAATGCAATGGTAGACATTATAACGACATTACATATGAGTAGAAATACAATTATAACATTTAAATGAATATAAACAAAAGTTAATGTTTCTTAGCCAGAGGGAATAAAATATAAGTTTTTAATTTTTTTCTCTTTCTTTGTGATCACCATTGAATTGCTGAATAAACTGATACTGGTATTGTCAAGCATCACATGCATAGCAAGCAACAGGTTCACAATTTTTTTATCACTCAGGATCTGGATAAATAAAAAATGAGAAAAGCCAGGAATGCATTCTGCCTAGATGCAGAAGACTGCACTCCAATAAAATTGAGCATTCAGACACAGAAAAATATCTTCCTTTTCCCTTGAGTTGCATAAAGAACACAGTACGTTAGCATTAGGTTTCCAAGGTATAAAATTTAGAAATATTTGTTAGCAATGTCATTTTAGGAACCATCACAGCTCAGAGATGCATTGCCTGCTAACCCGAAGATTGAAGAACAAAAGGGTTCCCTTGTGGGGGTGGGTCTTTGTAATCCAGGTTAGTCTCCATTGAGCAGTTGCTTCACATTCGAAGATGATGGGGTCGTCATTGAATATATCCATGATACGTTTTTTCAGATGCCATAGACCAGTAAATTGCTGTATCACTCCTCTGAGTTTAGCCCTCTCTAATTGTAACAGTGAGATAGCCAGTCTTGGTGAAAGTTGTTTTAGCATAAGCTTTCTGTATCTAAAACCACTAGAGTTTGTTTATTTACTTCTCCTTTTGATTTTTTTTATCCATTCTGTGATTGATGATTCAATGTAAAACATATAGAAGAACTGTGTGGTGATTAGTGACCATTAGTCGATGATTATTCAGAAATCGTGAGATGCAGTCTGCTGTGACGTAGGTTTTAAAAAAACATTTTCCTTATCGTGCCAACGTTTCAATCTTTATTGAGATCATCTTCAGGGCTCAAAGTGTTTGTTTTCTGTGTAATTGTGCCATTCTTGCGTGTCATGTTGAGAGTGCACTCGTGGGCACAATTACGCAGAAAACAAATACTTTGAGCCCTGAAGATGATCTCAATAAAGATCAAAACTATGGCACGATAAAGAAAATGTTTTTCTAAAACCTACGTAACACCAGACCGCATCTCACGATTTCTGAATAAATATAGAAGAACTCTTCCATACATAAAACATTCATGTGTTGAAGTAGTGAGGAGTGGTCAAGAATGAGAACCACACTTTATGCCCTGAAGATGACCCGAATAAAGGTCGAAACGTGGGGACAAAATTAAACATTGTTTTTCTAAACTACCTCATTCCTGACCGCTCCTCACGACTTCAAAAAATTATGAAACAACAGGGCACTAAGAAACACATTTATTCGTGTGTTTTGACTTGTATTATTATTTATTTATGGGCCGACAAACATCAAGTGGTCATCGCCGGCCCTCTGCGTTTAATTCTTCGTTTGTTCTTTTTTTCCCGCGCATCTTTGTTTTGACTAATCAGATCGCATCTTAAAAATAATAATAATACTTGCATGGCGTTCCTTCTTTTGCAGATTTTTCCTGCAAAAACAGCAAATGCTGCACGAGATCATTTCCGGGTGTAGTGCTTCTTTTTCTTTGGCTAAGCAATTCATCGGCTAAATAGAGGAAAAAGTCCTCAGCCCGTTTCTGTATAATCCTAAAAAAATGATAACGCATTCGTAAACGTAATCCATTGCACAAATTAATAAATTACCTTGTACGAAATATCAGCGAAAACCACGGTGCAAAAAAGGCGGACAATGCACCTGCGTTCGAATCGCTGAAAAGTTGTCCTAGAGTGTTTTTAAGAAATTGGGAGTTTTTGTCAAAGAACGAATCGTTATTGACTCCGAACGCGCAGGAAGCAACCGTGTCAATTGTGTAAAACCTTGAAACGACATTCACCTTTAAAAAAAAATCAATGTCCAAATTAGTGAAACTGTACTGATGTGAGTATTTGTCCATTCAAGCTTAGTTCCAAATGCAGCTCTTATTGAGTAACTTTTTGAAGATTCTTTATTTTTTAATAAAAAACTGTTTCGGTGGAGTGATTATAACAATTCTCAGTAGTTGAAAAAATGGGACCACTTCGAACATACGGAATAGAATGTGTGGTTCTATATCCAAAGCATACTTCCAATCAAAAGTCCTTTGACAAATTACCAAAGCTCCTTACTACTTCACCAACTTCACACCTTTCGATCCATCCTACCCTACTGCCCAAGCCCTCTTCAGAAGCTTTCTCTTTCAAATCCGAGACCTTCTCCTAATTGAACTCAATTTTGCGGATTAAGGAGTTCTCCTGAGACATGGCGGGTTCGGAGGAATGTGAAAGGATAGAGAGGTCTTGGACGGCAGAACAACCCCTTCACAAGCAGTCAACTCGTCCGCCCAGACGGGTGGCCAGCAGACATAAGTGCTGCTCACGTTCTCATCCCCACTGGTTGGCTCAACTCAAAAGACCTACTCGGCATTTGTCCTTCACACCAGTCGCCTAGTTGAGTCAAGTGAGTTCACCATGAGAAGCGTTGAATGCAAGTTTCAATGTGGAGCAATTCATTGAAGTTATTCGCATTAGTCCCGTGATATGGGACATGAGGTGTGAGGAGGATAGTTATAAAATTAAAAGAAACGAAGCTTGGAGGGAAGAAGCACAACATTATTTGAGAGAAAGCGCCCGTTTCCTAATTTTATAACAACGGATAAACCCACACTTTTCTTTACTGGGTTCCTCTTTTTTTCTTCTCTTTTCGCAGAAGAGCAAGCACAAGAAGTGCTCCTGCTTCCGGGTCCTAACATATTTGACTTCTCTTTGGGAAGAGAGGTTGAACAAGTTGCCTGGTATGGCCGAGGTGGTCTTACACGGCAGTGAATCTGAATCAGCCAAACCGCCTCGTCTGAAAGAGGCCTTAGGCTGGATCGAAAGGTTGTTATGGAACTTTAAGAAGATCAAATCAGTTGGTTGACAAAATTTGTTGTGTGAGGATGATGACGTAGTAAGGAGCTATGAAAATGTGTTGTCAAAGTTTGAAAGTACTGATGAAGGGTTCCTTGAAAGCTGAACGAAGGAACTGAGTAGGTCTTTTTCTAATTGGCGTCATCTCTAATTTTTAATATACAAATAAACAAACATTATCTTTCTTTTAAACCAGACTAGCTGGTACTCATTTAACGCCGATTAAAAAATGAGGGGTCTCAAGAGGCCATCGTCGTTTAAGGCGACGTGCCGGGTTCTTGGGTTGGGAAAATGTAGATAAGGCAGGGGCAATAGGGTCAGGATAGATCGAGAATTTGTTCTAGATAGTGAGATTGGTGACGTAGTAAGGAGCTTTAATATGTTCCTAAGGATTTTTGATGGGATTCGCTGGACACTGGAGACTTGACAGAACTAAGTATAAAGATTAATAGTTAATTAATTTTTAAGTAAGGCATTCGTTGAGATAAAAAAGTCAGTGACACGAGCGGGATTCGAACCCACGACCTTCGGCTAAATACGCCACTGCTCTGTCACTTGAGCTATCGTTCGTGACTTCAATCCACTCGGACACCAACTCCCTACCACAACCCACTTTTCGAATTTTCCCTCCTTTTTGCCATTTTCAGATGTATAATCAGAATTCGATTCTCAGCGACTTATGAAGTGGGCACGGGTAGCTGTTAGTGAAATGATACTTCTTTTACTTATTAAATATTAATCCATTTATGTTTTAGTGGTCAATTAACCACGTTACTTCTTTCAATTAATTATTCTTTTTATGTAAGGTCTTGGTTGAGATAAAAAAAAAAAAAATGGCAAAAAGAGGAAAAATTCGAACGGTTGTAGGTTGAGATGGAGAGTTGGTGTCCGATAGGATCGAGGTCACGATAGCTCAAATGGTAGAGCAGCGGCGTATTTAGCCGAAGGTCGTGGGTTCGAAACCCGCTCGTGACACTGACTTTTCTATCTCAACCAAAACCATACATAAAAAGAATAATTAGTAAATTATAATATAGAGAGCATATAAATATAATTGTTTTTCGAGCTCAAAAGTGTTCTTACAGGTAAAACAACTTAATTTTAAGAGAAGATCAACACAAGAATCAAATCAAAGATTTTCAACTAGATCAAACAATAAAATTTAATTTCTCAAAAGTTCGTAATTGGTTATATTGCATTAAAAAAGAAATCTATCACTAAAGGAAATACAATTTTTACTTACGCATATCTCCTCAGTTTGTTGTGATACAAATTCCACAAAATTTTGAGCCGTTTTTGCCATAAGTGGTACCATAAGTTTAATTTTGCTGATTCGATGGGCCGGAGATTGCACTGCACGGTTGGGTTTCCAACTAGAATTTTAAACGTTTTTATTTATCCAATTTTGTTTATTTATATAAACATAATCATACGCTGCGCCACGGAGTGTGAAGGAATTCAATCCTATCAGGGCATCCACGCTTTCGTAAGTGACGAAGCCGTTGTCGGCAAAGACGTTGAAATCTTTCACCAGTACGTCTTTTATGAGGTCCAAGTCTTTGACAATCAGCATCGGCTGACGGAGTGCGTAAAATCCGACGGCTTTGGCGAATGTATACTTCCTTCAATTTTAAAAATTTCCAATTCATATTTTCTACATATAAGATTTAATACAAACTTACGTGTATGCTTCGTTCAAGAAATTGACTAAGTTTGTCTGCATTAACAGCAACCTTTTGATACTGCCAAACGGAAAGTTTCTGTCCATACATGGAACACCTTTATTTTCCCAATGATTATAGTTTTTCGTCCAGTAATAATAGAAAATGGTAAGAAAAATTGCCGTAGAAGTTATAAGTATTAGCATATTTATTGTTTTTATTGGTTTGGATCTGCAAAATGGGAAAGTTCATAGTGTAACATGTATTGAACAGTACGCTCTCATTTCCTTCTCTCTCCCTCTGTCTTGTTCAATTTGTTAGATGTAAGAGTGATCAAATATCGTTNTCTCTCACTCTTTCTCTTTCTATTTCTCTGTTCTGTCACACTTTCCCTCTCTTTTTCTCTCTTCTTCGTTCTCGCTCTCTCTTTTCCTTTCTCACCTCTCTCGCTTCTTCTCGCTCCTCAGTCAAGCACTGGCTACCGCTCTCTCTCCCCTTGTTTTCTTTATGAAATTTAAACAAAATTGATAGTAGTATGTTAATTTTAAACAAAGAAATAAAAATTCTAGGAGTAGTAATAAATAAATATTTTAGTTGGAATACACATATTAAGAAAGCATATAGTATGACGTATTCCATAATGTATGACTAAAATTGCACTTAATATTAAGAGTACATACATGAAACTAAAACTTTTAATGCATTAATGCTTCCAAAAATAACTTATTGTCTTGTAATTAAAATTGTAATCTTTCAATTAAAACTCATCATAAGATAAATGTTACTATTTATATGTGTATTTGCATATCTTTATAAAACGAATTTTTGATAAATGTTTTAAAATTTATCCATTTTAAAATTTTAAAAATTAAAACAAAAACACTTTTATAAGCTCTAAATAGCTTTTAAAATACCGTTGTGTCGAACGCAGGGTTTTTATAATTCATTCTTTCCTAAATGTACAAAACTGTACAATAATTTCCCTAATGTTATAACATGTACATCAAAACAAATTTATACGGAACATCTAAGAGTTTTTTTCTCCCTATATTATCCGGCGATTGTGGGTTCGAGTAACGCTCCACTAATTTACACTAATTACACTAAAACACACACACACTAATTAAATTAAAAACTTTTTAATAAACTTTAACGTTTAGATAACTAATAAATAATTATTAACATAACCCTCTAGTTATGTCAGACCGCTCTGTACAACATCGATAATATTTACAAATATATGTAGACAATACAAAAAGTATATTTGTATAAGATTTGTATTTTGAATAATGTAAATTTAGTGGTATGTACGAATGCCCGTCAAATGAAAGAAAGGTCCACGAGACCTAATTTTGTGAGCTTTTTTTCAATAAAATGTTCACTTCAAATCAATTCTCTCTCTCTCTCTCTTTCTCTCTCTCTCACTCCTACCACAACCCACTTTTCGAATTTTCCCTCCTTTTTGCCATTTTTCAAATGTCGTGTAATCTATTTGATCACACAACAAGTTAAATCCATTAAACAATATTTTCAAAATTCATTTATATTAAATATTCCNGAGAGAGAGAGAGAAATAATTATTATGTTAATAGTTATTTATTAGCTTACTAATAGAGTAGAGAATGGAAGGAGTAAAATATTTCCAACTAAAAATGCATCAAATTAAAGCCCTTGACACGTGCATCAACATAAAATAATTAATCAATATTTTAATGTCACACAAATAAATATCATCAATGATTTTAAGGCTAAATGTTTTATCAATTCAAATACTACTTGTCACACTCTTACATCTACTTAATTGTACCAACTAATTTATAAGATAAATGTTACGATTTATTACCTGATCACTAAATGCTAAAATAATTACTCTGGACAAATATTATTTTATCATCGGTGTGCCAGCTATGAAATCAACAACGGAAGCACCAAGGTGAAACCCTCGGTTCGGACTGGTTATGTTTTTATTTTTTGAAGTTCCACTTATCGCAAAACAAATATAATTGCAAGGACGTTCAGCTACACGCAATGAAAACTGATTGGAAATAATTATACAATATTTTTCAAAACATCGATTATCTAGCTTATTATTTTGTCTAAACAACGCCACGTGTAATACCACTCAAAAAGATGTCATAGCCATTTTTCGAATAAAACAAAACGTCTAGTATTTGTCAATAAATAAATTTCTAATAACTTGTGATATTTTATATTTTCTTTATACTTCTGTAACCCCGGGATCCTGGATGAATGGTTCTGGGGCTTAATGAATCTCGCTAATATCTTAAAGCTACTTTATTTAACAATATTATGCCGGTTACAATCAAGCTCTCTACTTAGGAACTATTTATGTATGTTTACATCTCGGCAAGGGGGGGTCATGCTGGATAGAAATTACTGTCAAATTTAATATGAAATTTTCGCCAAAACTCTGATTGAAACAGGCACTCACCGATTATTCCAAGAAGAAGACCCCCGAATCTTGTAGAACACTGCTTCCTCTGACTGTTGCCCATCTACTGACCCCTATTGTTCCCGTTCACCCGGCCCGAGGCCAGGTTGCTGACATAACACCTAGGTCTCCCTTTTGCCGTCACTGTTTCTTATTCTATTTACAATTTTTCAATTAATATTTATGAAAGGTATTGGTTGATTTAAAAAAGTCGGTGTCTCGAGCGGGATTCGAACCCACGACGTTCGGCTAAATAAGCTGCTACACTACCACTTGAGCTATCGTGAGACTAAGATCCGCTCGGATACTACCATCTCAACCTCACCTCTCGAATTTTTCCTCCTTTTTGCCATTTTTCAAATGTCGTGTAATCTATTTGATCACACAACAAGTTAAATCCATTAAACAATATTTTCAAAATTCATTTATATTAAATATTCCCATCACCGGTTTCAATTCAAATGTAATATATATTGAACCATTGTCATTTGAATAGTAATTAGCAGTTATTTTGATTTCGTTAATTCTCAAACCTTGATACTTTTATTGATGACAGTGTCATGCAAAATTGCCTTACTGATCAAGAAGATCTTGCTACCACGTAAGTTTCAAACTTCTCGGGAGGCTTTCTGGGCGTCTAAATAAGAATATTCTTTCGCATCGGCAAGAATGACATTTGCGTAGATTATTCGGAAATCGTGAGATGCGGCCTGATGTGACGTAGGTTTCAGAAAAACCTTGAAATATATTAATTGGTCAAGCGGTCCACTAAACCTAGTGAATTTCAGAAAAACATTTTCTTTATCGTGGCAAAGTTTCGATCTTTATTGAGATCATCTTCAGGGTCTGGGATTTACAAACATTGTTTAAATTTAACAAATACATGTAGGATGTGGAAAAAATTTATACAATGCTAGAAAATTTCAGATTTTAAAAAAATGCATTTATACAATGCTAGAAAAGTTTAGATTCAATCAAAGTGTACTCACTCAAAGTGTTTGTTTTCCGTGCAGATGTGTCATTACTGTGTGACATGTTGAGAGTGCCAGTGAAGTATTGCTGTTTTATGTTTATATATGCTGGGTTTTGAAGGGGTGGGGAAGGAAGTCGGGAATAGAAAGACATTTTTTTATATGAGGAGTCGGCTTCTTGAGGTGAATGCAAAAAAAAATTTTTTATTCAACAACAATTCACACACTTTTTCCCAAAAGTAAAGATCCCACACCAGTAACAAATAAATCTGACGTAATTTACAAAATCAATTGTTTAAATTGTCCGGCAACTTACATCGGTATTACATACCAATATCTGGATAAGACAGTAACGCAACATATCTATGATTGCAAAAAACCGAAACAAAATCCTGCAGACTGGCTTTGAACGCCAACACAATTTCGACTTCAACAATCCAAAAATATTACACACAGAACAAAACAAACATAAACGTAATTTTTAGAAATGGTTTACATCAACAGAAATGAGATAAACACAGCATCAATTACAGAACAGACACATGTAAACTCAGTTGCAGCTACGCCAATATCATTAATCAAATTCAATATCGATAACATGCATTTATCATCACATCACACAAAACATATAATATAATATATAAAACATTCATCACATTCCACACAACAAAAATTTCTACATAGTCTAATTTTGAACTACTAATTTAGGTTTCCTTTTCCTAATTATCGCCGTCTATATAATCCTGAAAAGATAATTTGGCCGAACTATTACCAACGTTTTTTCCCTTCTTCAGTTCTTTTCACCTCAAAGACGCCAACTCTTTACACAAAAATGTCTTTCTATACTGACTTCCTTCCCCACCCCTTCAAAATCCAACTTATATAAACATAAAACAGCAAACTTCACTGGCACTCTCAACATGACACGCAAGAATGGCACAATTACTCAGAAAACAAACACTTTGAGTGAGTAGAAATACTTTGAGTATAAAAAATATATTTTGCATTGTATAAATTCACTTTTTTCCACATCCAACATGTATTTGTTAAATTTAAACAATGTTTGTAAATCCCAGGCCCTGAAGATGATCTCAATAAAGATAGAAACGTTGGCACGATAAAGAAAATGTTTTTCTGAAACCTACATCGCACCAGACCGCATCTCACAATTTCCGAATAATCATAGACTAACGGTCACTAATCACCACACATTTGTGTAGGTTTATGAAATTTTGAGGATTTTGATTTAGGCTGTTTTTTTGTCCCAGCTCATAGGCCAGAGCCACCGTCTTTTATTTTATTATTTCTATTTTTTTTATTATATTACTATTTAAATCCTCACTCCAGCTCTATCAAAGAAGCCGACAATTGCTGAGTAAATGCACCTTGACTCCGATTTTATTATTTCCTTGTGGCTTGGCTACTGTATTTTTTGGAAGGTGCTCACCACCTCATTTAACCTTCTTTCTCGAGCTAGATTATATTTTTTCCATTCCAATATGATCCAATCCAATATGATAAGTAAAGCGTGGTAGACACTTACCCGATGCAACGTTATGCGACGCTACCCCATGCTACCCGACGTCTTGTCACGTTTTGGTAGGTTGTGCATCCAGTGTGTATCACAAATTAGTATCGCAACTATCTGGCAGATGTGCACGGGGGTAATACTATCTTATGGAAAACTGGATTTTGGATTTGCGTTGGGTAGCATCGGGTAAGTGTGTTCCTCGCTTAATGCTTATGTTTTGTACACTGATGGGTCCAAAACAGGAAATAACACTCTGCAGAATTCACGGTAACGAAATAGTAGATGTTTTGGCAAAGAAAGCAGCTATGCAAAAGCTTCCCGTTGACACAACAATACATTTTAAAAATTTATATTGGTTATCGAAGAAGCAATGTTTGGACTCTTGACAGCAAGATTATAATAACAGCAACAAAGGACTATTTTGCAAAAACTTATTTCCTAAGGTGTCGTTGGTTCCCTGGTTTTTAGTTCAATACGCAAATAAAAAGACCAGTAAAATCATTTCCAGACTTCGATCAAATCATGGCATATGTAAAACATATTTAAAAAAGATAAACCTGTCCATGGACGAGTTATGTGCATGCAGAGCAGTGGAAACACTAGAACTTGCGAGAGAACTAACGAAGAGCTTTAGACAATGATGAAGAATGCCCAATAGGCAATAATTGGTGCGGTGCGTAAAGTCGTAAAGGGTAGAACAATTTGAATGTTTCTGGTTTGGATTTAGAGGTTTGGATGTTTATAGTTAAAAAAGACTTCGTGTTTGTGTATGTTTTATCAATTATCATTTACAGTTTGATTTTTTGTTGTATTACAGCGTGACCACATATATTGATTTTTAGAATAATCCGTCTTTACTCTGTTTTCAAAAGAAGGCCGCAAATTCCCATGATCCAGAGTCGATGCGGTCAGGGCGGTCTAGCAACGCGGTCGCTTTTAATCATGATAATGAAGGAAACGGCGGGACGAACTAGCTGACCACTTTTGACTAAGCGGATGAACTAGTTAAGCATCAAGTTAGCCGGCGAAGTACAAAACCGCTTTAAAAAATGAACCCATTTCTTTTATATTAATTTTCACCCCCTCGTCTATAAAATTTCTTATCGCACTTCCCGCAATGCTGCGGATTCGTAGGGCCTGTTAACGGATGAATCTATCGTCTCTCACTCTCTCCCATTTCTAGGAGGACCAGGTCGACCCTGCCAAGCATTCTAGTGTAAAGCCCGTTTCTCGGAAGTTACGACGAACCATTGTTAAAGCAGTGCTGACACCTAGTGGATACTTGGTAACCAAAGGAGTTCACCTCATACAATAAATATTTTTGTGGATGTACTTACTCTCATGTAATTGATTAAAGTATTTTTTTACTTGAAAAATTAAGTCGTGTTTCAAATTCAAAGGGAATCTTTCTGTTAAATTCATTTTTATTAGTTAGTTTCATTTATTAAACCGCAGGTTTATCCTTGGGTTCCAAGTTTCATAAAAAATACACTTAAAAATAATAATAAAGAATATCGTATTTTAAATTCATTAAAAATAAGCTGTCGTTTGCTTAACAGTCGATATAGGTAAAATAATCTTTATATGAATAGCCACTTTAGTGAAATATCGGGTTGTCCGGAAAATAATGCAGGATTTTAAGTTTTCATTAAAAAAAATCTATATAAAATATTCTGTTTACGTTTACAAGATTACTCATTTGTATGAATGTCAACACTTATTAATCCTCTTCCAAATGATATTGTTTGTTTACCTCTGTAGCATTCCGCTACTTGGAAATAATTAATTTCGTACGATTTTCTTTTACGAGTTTAAACTCGGCCGAAGCGGAGCCCAAACGGCTAGAAACATTAACCAAGTCTGGGGCGAGGGTTGTGTTAATGAGTGCACTGTGCAAAGGTGGTTTAAAAAATTTCGGGAGGGAGATTTCAGCCTTGAAGATGAAGAAGGTCGTGGAAGGCCTTCCTCTCTTAATGATGATGTTCTGCGATCAGTGGTGG